CTGGCTCTTGAATGTTGATTGGATAAACAATGAAATGAAGGCAGAAATAAAGAAGTTCTTCAAAACCAATGAAAATGAAGACAAAACATACCAGGATCCCTGGGACACATTTAAAGCAGTCTCTAGAGGAAAATATATAGCAATAACTGCCCACATGAGAAGAGTGGAGAGATCCAAAATTGACACCCTATCATCAAAATGGAAAGAGCTAGAGGAGCAAGATCAAAGAAACTCAAAACCTAGCAGAAGACAAGAAATAACTAAGATCAGAGCAGAACTGAAGGAGATAGAGACACAAAAAATCCTTGAAAAAGTCATTAAATCCAGGAGGTGGTTTTTCGAAAAGATCAACAAAATAGACCACTAGCCGGATTAATTTAAAAAAAAAGGGAGAGAATAACCAAATAGATGCAATAAAAAACGATAAAGGGGAAATCACCACAGATTCCACAGAAATTCAAACCATCATCAGAGAATATTACAAACAGCTCTATGCACATAAACTAGTAAACCTGGTAGAAATGGATAAATTCCTGGACACTTGCATCCTCCCAAGCCTAAACCAGGAAGAAGTTGAAACCGTGAATAGAACAATAAGAAGATCTGAAGTTGAGGCAGCCTACCACACAAAGAAAGCCCGGGTCCAGATGGGTTCACAGCCAAATTCTACCAGACACACAAAGAGGAACTGTTGCTGTACCTCCTGAAACTATTGCAAATAATCCAAAAAGAGGGAATCCTTCCCAAATCATTTTATGAGACCAACATCATTCTGATACCAAAACCCGGCAGATACTCAACAAGAAAAGAAAACTTCAGGCCAATATCCTTGACGAACATAGACGCAGAAATCTTCAATAAAATACTGGCAAGCCGATTGCAACAGCACATCAAAAAGCTTATCCACCATGATCAAGTAGGATTCATCCCGGGGATGCAAGGCTGGTTCAACATGCGCAGGTCTATAAATGTAATTCACCACATAAAAAGAACCAAAGACAAAAACCACATGATTATCTCAATTGATGCAGAGAAGGCCTTTGACAAAATTCAACAGCCCTTTATGCTAAAAACCCTCAATAAACTCGATATTGATGGAATGTATCTCAAAATAATAAAAGCTATTTATGACAAACCAAGAGCCAATATCATATGGAATGGGCAAAAACTGGAAGCATTGCCTTTGAAATCTGGCACTAGACAAGGATGCCCTCTTTCACCACTCCTATTCAATATAGTACTGGAAGTTCTAGCCAGAGCAATCGGGCAAGAAAAAGAAATAAAGGGTACTCAAATAGGAAAGGAGGAAGCCTAATTGTCTCTATTTGAAGACGACATGATAGTATATCTAGAAGACCCCATCATCTCAGCCCAAAAACTCCTGAAACTGATAAGCAACTTCAGCAAAGTCTCAGGATATAAAATCAATGTGCAAAAATCACAAGCATTCCTATACACCAATGATAGACTTAAAGAGAGCCAAATCAAGAACGAACTGCCATTCACAATTGCTACAACAAGAATAAAATACCTAGGAATACAACTTACAAGGAACGTAAGGGACCTCTTCAAGGAAAATTACAAACCACTGCTCAATGAAATAAGAGAGGACACAAACAGGTGAAGAAACATTCCATGTTCATGGTTAGGAAGAATCAATATCATGAAAATGGCCAAAGTACTGCCCAAAGTAATTTACAGATTCAATGCTATCCCCATCAAGCTACCAATGACCTTCTTCACAGAACTGGAAAAAACTACCTTAAACTTCATATGGAACCAAAAGAGAGCCCACATAGCCAAGTCAATTCTAAGCAAAAAGAACACAGCGGGAGGCATCACATTACCGGACTTCAAACTATACTACAAGGCGACAGTAATCAAAACAGCATGGTACTGGTACCAAAACAGAGATATAGACCAATGGAACAGAACAGAGGCATCAGAGGCAACAGAACATATCTACAACCATACAATCTTTGATAAACCTGACAAAAACAAGCAATGGGGAAAGGATTCCCTGTTTAATAAATGGTGTTGGGAAAACTGGCTAGCTATGTGCAGAAAGCAGAAACTGGACCCCTTCCTGACACCTTACACTAAAATTAACTCCAGCTGGATTAAAGACTTAAACATAAGACCTAACACCATAAAAGCCCTAGAAGAAAATCTAGGCAAAACCATTCAGGACATAGGAGTAGGCAAGGACTTCATGAACAAAACACCAAAAGCATTGGCAACAAAAGCCAAAATAGACAAATGGGACCTAATCAAACTCCATAGCTTCTGCACGGCAAAAGAAACAGTCATTAGAGTGAATCGGCAACCAACAGAATGGGAAAAAATGTTTGCAGTTTACCCATCTGACAAAGGCTGATATCCAGAATTTACAAAGAATGAAAACAGATTTACAACAAAAAAACAAACAAGCCCTTTCAAAAGTGGGCAAAGGATATGAACAGACACTTTACAAAAGAAGACATACATGAGGCCAACAAACATGAAAAAATGCTCATCATCATTGGTCATTAGAGAAATGTAAATCAAAACTACATTGAGATACCATCTCACGCCAGTTAGAATGGCGATCATTAAAAAATCTGGAGACAACAGATGCTGGAGAGGATGTGGTGAAATAGGAACACTTTTACACTGCTGGTGGGAGTGTAAATTAGTTCAACCATTGTGGAAGACAGTGTGGCGATTCCTCAAGGACCTAGAAATAGAAATTCCATTTGACCCAGCAATCCCATTACTGGGTATATATCCAAAGGACTATAAATCGTTCTACTATAAGGACACATGCACCGGAATGTTCATTGCAGCACTGTTTTCAATAGCAAAGACCTGGAATCAACCCAAATGCCCATCGATGATAGACTGGACACGGAAAATGTGGCACATATACACCATGGAATATTATGCAGCAATCAAAAACGATGAGTTCGTGTCCTTTGTAGGGACATGGATGAATCTGGAGAACATCATTCTCAGCAAACTGACACAAGAACAGAAAATGAAATACCGCATGTTCTCACTCATAGGCGGGTGTTGAACAATCAGAACACATGGACACAGGGAGGGGAGCACTACACACTGGGGTCTGTTGGGGGGAATAGGGGTGGGACAGCAGGGGTTGGGGAGTTGGGGAGAGATAGCATGGGGAGAAATGCCAGATATAGGTGAAGGGGAGGAAGGCAGCAAATCACGTGTGTACCTATGCAACTATCTTGCATGTTCTGCACATGTACCCCAAAACCTAAAATGCAATTAAAAAAATTAATTAATAAAATAATAATATATAAAAAAGGAATAATGGTGTACTCAATTGGGAGGAAATAGGAGACTATTTCTTTGTTCTCTTATGGTTTTTTTTTTTTTTGAGACAGAGTCTCACTCTGTGGCCCAGGCTGAAGTGCAGTTGTTGGATCTTGGCTCACTGCAACCTCCGCCTCGTGGGTTCAAGCAATTTTCCTGCCTCAGTCTCCTGAGTAGCTGGGACTACAGGCGTGTGCCACCCTGCCCAGCTAACTTTCGTGTTTTTAGTAGAGACAAGGTTACACCATGGTGTTCAGGCTGGTTTTGAACTCCTGACCTCCTGATCCAATTGCCTGAGCCTCCTAAAGTGCTGGGATTACAGGCATGAGCCACCATGCCCAGCCCTGTTTTCTTTTTGTTTAATTTGTCCCTAAAGAAGTAAACAATTGTGTCATTTTCAGTTTTGATTATATTCTGTGCACAATCAGTATTGGGACTAATATAATTGAAGTACATGTATTAAATATAAAACAAATAGTGGGGTTATTTCTGTATTTTAAGTTTTTGGGGAGGTAACTAAGGTTGCTAGTATCTTAATAAGCTTACAGTCTCTGCAGATGTTTCCATGGTGTTATTGGCATAGATTGTTTATGTTAATTTCCTCAAAGGGATATTTAGGAATGTGCACAAATGATCAGAATTTTTTTGTTTTTGGAACAGTGAGGGTTTTGAGCAGTCATTAGCAACATTTACAGGTTTTGAAATTCACTTTGTAGTTAAATTCTTTTATCAAGCACATACCACATGTACAGCACTGCTAGATCTATGTAGACATTACTATACAATGTAATTGATTTCATTCTTAATGGTTTCTGTCTTTTAAAATAAAAAAAAGAAAAGGAGCAAAAGGGTGTATATATACTTTACTACCACTTTTATAGAGGTCTACCTTTCAGGATGACATTAAGAGATGATTTACACTATGCTGAAAAAAATTTAGGTGAGTTACTGACTCAGTAGTTAGGTGAGCTGCTGTATTATTGGTATACAATAACATGAATTGCAGAGTAGTGTAAGGTTTGCCAACAAACCATACACCTGGTCCATGAAAATTGAAATAGATACTAATTCACTGGAATGTTTATGGTAAGAAGAGTGTATATATCTTGACTAAGACATGGCTATTAGGTTCAGATTAATTTGTTAAGCATATTATAGGCCAAAGCATATTCAATTGAGAAGTCAGAAAGCTGCATTGTAAAACAATGTACTTTCTTTTGAAACTGTGACAACTGAAATATATAGTTGGGTCTGAGTAAAGGAGGGACATTTCAAAATAGTTAAAACTGGAAAAAAAGATTTGATGACAGAAAGCCTTTATCATTTTGAAGTATAATTGATAGTTATCCAATTATGTTAGGATGTAACTTGTTGACATATACCAGTGCTTTCTGCCATTGTCAGTGGCCATTTTGAGTAATTTGTATTTGTTAGAAATTCAATTAGTCCTCTTTTATGTTTTCCTGAAGACTGCATGTTTCAAAATTCACACAATTCAAGATTTATTTTCTATGTGAATAAACTACAAGTAGAACTTGTTTTGTGTATGAAGTGTGGTTTTAATATCAGTAATATTTTTATATTGTACTATTTCAAATTTGCATAATTCAGAATTGCATATGATGAGGCTGAACTGTATTAATAAAATTGATTAACGTGAAACTACGTTTTTTTACATGTAGAAAATAGAACTTCCAAAGAAACTGGCAAAACGCTATCCAGCATATGAGTTATATCTTTATGGAGAAGGATCCTATGCTGAAGAACACAAAATTCTCCCTTTGACGGGTATTCCAGTTCTCTTTCTTCCTGGTAATGCTGGAAGTTATAAACAAGGTAAGTTTCACTGGAAGTAAGTTTTGAAAGCTATAAAATTCAACTCAAAAATTTGAATCATATCTATACTCAGTGAATCGAATAAAGTAAATGAAATGCATGCTGTGTTTGAAGTACTATGTTGGGCTTACAGAGAGACCAACATATGACATTTTCTGAGAGAATACATGTGAGAAGTACTTAGAAAAATTGAAGACCACTTTGCAAAGAGAGAAATAAGAATAAGATGGAGTGGGATTGGATAAGTAGATGATAAAGGGGGAACCCCTTGGAGAATCAGCAGAGGAAACACATTTATGTCGGAAATGAATGGTAAAGAGAACAGAAACTTAAGCATTGATTAGGGAAGTAAATCAGTGGCTAATGTTATACAAAATAAGAGATATTCATTTCCTTCTTTTGGAGTTATTTAAGTTAGAGAGATCTAGAAGTACTGGGAGTAACATAGAAAGGTAAGGATAGGGAAATTACATGTACAGATTCCAAACTGATGTTGGCTTGGAGATATAGCAGTTATTTCTGGCATAACAGCTAAGTAAACTGGAATTAATTTTGTTTTAAACTAAAACCTGCTTTCTTGTTATTTAATGGATTGGAATTGTTTCAACATATGCAGTTATTTATGTGTTTATTCACCTAGCACGTATCTACAGGTGTCTACCATGAGCCAGGCTGTGTTCTAGATATTAGGGATCCAGAGCATATCAAGACAGTTAAAGTCCCTCTCTTATCAAATTTATATGCTTATTGAGAGGACAGTGATCAAACAAATACGTCAGTAATATTAAAGGCTGGAAAGAAAAACAGACTAAGGAGGTAGAATATAAAAGGGTCAGGAGGTGGCTAGTTCAGATGAGGTGGTCAGGAAAGGCCATTGTGAGGAGATGACATTTGAGGGTTTGACTGAGGGAAGTATTGATTAGGGAAGCAAATCAGGAGGCAGGAACATGCTTTGTGCATTCAAGGCTACTGTGACTAGAGAAAGTGAAAAGAGATAAGACTGGAAAAGTAGCCACAGGCCATATCACATATGCTGTGGAAAAGACTTTGAATGAATGAGAAACTGTTGAGAGCTTTGGGTAAGAAAAATATAATCTGATTTTTAAAATTTATCTTTGTATTTGAAATATTACTTACAGAGAAATACATAGAACATAGATATTTGGTTACAAATTATTATAAAGTACATACCCATGAAACCAAACCTTAGTCTAGAAGTAGATTACCAGTGACCTAGAAACCCCTTATGTGCCCCTTCATGGTTAAAACTCCCTCCTCTCTTTCTTGATATAATTAAAATCCTAATGTTAAGATGGTAATTTCCTTAACTTTCTTTGTAGTTTTACTTAATATAATCTATTTATTTGAGGCTGTTTTTAAATTTTGTAATATGAATATAGTCATTCAGTATGTATTCTTTTGTGTCTGGCTTCTTCCACTCAGCATTATCTTTAAAATTCATCCAAATTCATTTTCCTTATTCTGTATTATGTGTTGTATGACTATACTATGGTTTGTCCATTCTGTCTTTGGACAGAATAAATGTTTACATTTATTGGCAATTACAAATGATGAATATTATTCCATATGTGTCCTGAAGTTACTGTGTTTCTGTAAGATACATACCTAAGAGTGTAATTCCATATTATAGGTTATGTGTGTCTTTTTAATCTTTACTGACTGTGCTAATTTATATTCTTACAAGCAGTATATTTTACTTTCCTTTGCCCCATGTCCTTTACAACACTGGAATTGTCAGATATTAAATTTTTAAGCAATCCGACAGGTGTGATTTACTTTTAAAAAAAGGTCACTCTGGCTTCGCTATGAAGAGACTTTCCTTTGCAGGGCAAGAGTAGAAGCAGGAAAGATACTAAAACATCATAAGTCATCAAAGAACTATACATAAAAATGAGATACCGCTTCATACCTACAAGGATAGTTGTAATAAAGAAGACAGATAACAACAAGTGTTGGTGGAGATGCAGAGAAATTGGAATCCTCATACATTGCTGGTGGAAATGTAAAATGTGCAACTACTTTGGAAAACTGTTTGGCAGTTCCTCAGAATATTGAACACTGAGCAATCATGTAATATTCCACTTCTAGGTATCTACCCAAGAAAAATAAACACATACCCACACAAAAACTTGTATATAAACATTCATAGCAGTGTATAATAACCAAAAGGTGGAAATAATTTAAATGGTCCTCAGCTGATGAATAGATAAATCAAATGTGGCATATTCATACAATGCAATATTATTCAATAAAAAGGAGGAATGAAGTACTGATACATCCCACAACATGGATGAACCTTGAAAACATCGTGCTATGTCAAAGAAGCCAGTTCCAAAAGGCCACATATTATACGAGGTGTCCAGAATAGGCAAACTCACAGCGACAGAAGGTAGATCAGTGCTTGTTAGTTAGGCCTAAGGGTTGGGAGGAATGAAGAAATGGGGAGTGACTGCCAGTAGGTACAGAGTTTTGATTTTGAAGTAATTAAAAAATACCTAATGTTAGATTTCAGAGATAGTTATACAATAAATACCAGAGATGGTGAATATACTAAAAACCATTTAATTTTACAGTTTATATAGTGAGTTGTATAATATGTGGATTATAATGCATCTGTTGTATATGTTTTTTAAAAATGAAATTGCAAACAGGTATTTTGTTTGCTAAACCATATGCTACAATTTTTATGCCATCTAATATAAGCAGTTTATAATAAAAGTTTTTAAAAGATTTGCAAAACAATAAGAACAAAAAGAGTGGAAGCAGGGGGACGAGTAAAGAAACTGTTAGAGGAGTTCAGACAAGAGATAATGGTGTTGGATTAGGACAGCAGTGATGGGAATGGCGAGAAATTTCAACTGGGGATATATTCGGAAGATACAGCGTGGCAGCCCTTACTGATGAATTGGATGTCCTTTTTAGGAGAAAAAGACAAATCAAGTATGGGTATCTAAACCAAATGATGAATGGATATTTCTTGTAGGAACCTTCTCATCTTTAAAATCCTCAGTAAGTTTGGCAAAATTTATATGTCTTATTCTTCAAAGAATCCTACTCTTTTAGCTATTGTTGCTCCCACCAAAGGAAAAGAAGGTAGAATAAATGATCTGCTTGCTTTTTATTTATTTAAATTTAAAAATATATAGGGCATACTGCATTCAAGGCATACAGTTGCTAGGTTCGTTTGTTCTAAATTGGTACTATTAATGAATTTCATCCTGAAATAGGTGGTTTATATTTGTGATACAGAATAAAGTTATTTTTTAAGAAATTCTGAAGAAGGAAGGGATGAAACATAAAAGTATTGTTTAGGGCAGGGCACAGTAGCTCACACCTACCCAGCACTTTGGGAGGCCTGGGTAGGTGGATCACCTGAAGTTGGGAGCTCAAGACCAGCCTGACCAACATGGAGAAAACCCATCTTTACTAAAAATACAAAAATAGCCAGGCGTGGTGGTGCATGCCTGTAATCCCAGCTACTTGGGAGGCTGAGGCAGGAGAATCGCTTGAACCCAGGAGGTGGAGGTTGCGGTGAGCTGAGATCTCATTGCACTCCAGTCTGGGCAACAAAGAGCAAAACTCCATCTCAAAATTTAAAAAAAGGTATTGTTTAATGTGCACTTCACTCTTTTCCTCTGCAGTTCGTTCTATTGGCTCCATTGCACTTAGAAAAGCAGAGGACATTGACTTCAAGTACCACTTTGACTTCTTTAGTGTGAACTTCAATGAAGAACTGGTGGCACTATATGGTGGAAGTCTTCAGAAGCAGACCAAGTTTGTACATGAATGTATTAAAACAATTCTCAAACTCTATAAGGTGAGAGATAAGTATGCAACCTATCAGCATCTTTTTAAAAAAGGGATTCAGTATACTTTAAATCATGTATTGGAAGTTGAAGCAGAGATGGTACAAAGATTTTTTTGTGAGAGTCTTTTGTCTTGGTCTCAGTAATGGTTTTGAAGTTTAAATTTATAAGAAATGTTTCTTACGGTGAATTCAGGAAGAAAAACTTTTTAAAACTATATATATATACATATATATATATATATATATATAAATTAAGAGTGCGATGCATTACCTAGAAACCATTGGTATAGATTTCTGCCTCTAGATATGACTAACTGGTACTAAGGTAGACTGCCTGCATTTGTAAACAACTATAAAACTGGTCAAGATATCTGAGGCACCTGATTTGAGATGTTGGACAACAGAACAGCAAAGGACTCTGATCCCTGGAAGAAGTGAGCTCCATGATTGCTCGGGTTTTTTGCCTGAAAGTATTTTCCAGATCATGGGGCAACATTGTTGTCACTTAGCTGAAGAAAGTAGAGAATTGAAATTGGGCGCTGCCGAAGCAGCTAAATGTGACACGGTATGGGAAAGAAGAGAGTGAGGCAAAGAAAGGGGCTCTAAAAATGCATATTTTTCAATCTTTGAATGCCATGCTACACAGGAAAAGTAATTATAAAACAGTGGCATGCTAAGGAGGAAGTGGTGGGGTGTGTTCAAGGCATAGTGGTAGTTTAAATCAAGGTGGTGGCACTTGAAGTGATGAGAAATTAAAGGCTGAGACATTACAATTTGCTGGCAGATCAGATATAGAAGGGCATAGTGAGAGGAAAAGAAGAATTAAGGATGACCCAAGTTTTTTTGGCTAAGCAACTGGAAAGATTGACTGCCATTAACTGACATAGGGAAGAATGTAGGAGGGACAGATTTGGAGGAGATTAAGAATTTAGTTTTAGACAGATTCAGTTTGAGATCCACATTAGACATTCCATGTATGTTACTGTGCAGGTGGTGTTCAAGGCTAGAGTTCAAGAGAAGGGGTATAGCCTCGAGATAATTACTGGGGGGTTGACAGTGTGTAGATATATTTAAAGCCACTAGACTGGAAGAGATCACTAATGGTTTCAACAAAGATATGAAAAAGAACTGATCTAAGGATGGAGGCCTGATTCACTTCAGTTTTAAGAAATGAGGAGAGACGGCTAGGCCTGGTGGCTCATGCCTGTAATTCCAGCACCTTCCCAGACCAAGGCAGGGGGACCACCTGAGGTCAGGCCAGCCTTGACCAGCCTGACCAACATGGAAAAATTCCGTTTCTACTAAAAATATGAAAGTAGCTAGGCGTGGTGGCACATGCCTGTACTCCCAGCTACTCAGGAGGCTGAGGCAGGAGCATCACTTGAACCTGGATGGCAGAGGTTGCAGTGAGCTGAGATCACGCCATTGCACTCCAGCCTGGACAAGAAGAGTGAAACTCCATCTCAAAAAAAAAAAAGGAAAAGAAAAGAAAAAAGAAATGAGGAGAGATGAGAAGGAAGCAGAGCCAGAAACTAAAAAGGAGTAGCCAGTGAGGTAAAGGGAGAACCAGGAGAGTTTGTTGTCAAAGAAACTAACGTAAATATTTCAAAGAAGGAAGAAGTGATCAACTGTCTCAAATGCTGCTGATAGGTCACATAAGATGAGGATTAATAATTGTCCATTGTAGCCTAGGCAACCTAAGGAGACCCTGTGTCTACAAAAAAAAAAAAAAAAATTAGCTGGATGAGGTGGTGTACACTTGTAGTCCCAGCTACTTGGGAGGCTGAGATAGGAGGATCTGCTTGAAACCTAGGAGATTGGAACTCCAGTGAGCCCCAATGATTGTGCCATTGCACTTCAGCCTGGGTGACAGAGTAAGACCCTGTCTCAAAAAAAAAAAAAAAAAAAGAATTAAGAATTGGCCATTGGATTCGTTGGTGATCTGGCAAGGACAGTTTTGGTGGCATGTTGGTGTAAAAGTCTGATTGAAATGGATTTAAGAGTGTGTGGAAGTTGAGAAATTGGAAACAGCAAGTACTGTGTATACAACTTGCTTTTTGTTTTGTTTGTTTGTTTTTTGAGACAGGTTCTCACTCTGTCACCAGGCTGGAATGCAGTGGCATGATCTTGGCTCACTGCAACCTCTGCCTCCTGGGTTCAAGTGACTCTCATGCCTCAGCCTCCTGAGTAGCTGGGACTACAGGCACATGCCACCACACCTGGCTAATTTTTATATTTTTAGTAGAGACTGGGTTTTGCTATGTTAGCTGGATTGGTCTTGAACTCCTGACCTGAAGTGATTCACCTGCCTCAGCCTCCCAAAGTACTGTGATTACAGGCATGAGCCACTGTGCCTGGCCTGCAACTTGTTTTTAGAGGTTTGCTGTAAAGAAATGTAGAGAAGTTACTAAGGGGAAAGTGAGAATTAAAAGGGAGTTATTTTTAAGAGAGAATAACAGTATGTTTATATGCTAATGAAATGATATATATAGAGAAAAGCACCAATGCAGGAAGAGAAGGCTTGCTAGAGTGCTGTACTTGAGAATACAAGTGTATTAAGAGAGTAACAGTATATTTATACACTAATGACAGTGTATTTATACACTAATTGCTAGAGTGATATACTTAAGAATACAAGTATTTTAAGAGAGAATAGCAGTATATTTATACACTATGTTCTCACTCATAAGTGGGTGTTGAACAATGAGAACACATGGACACAGGGAGGGGAGCATCACACTGGGGTCTGTTGGGGGGAATAGGGGAGGGACAGTCGGGGGTGGGGAGTTGGAGAGAGATAGCATGGGAAGAAATGCCAGATATAGGTGAAGGGGAGGAAGGCAGCAAATCACACTGCCACATGTGTACCTATGCAACTATCTTTCATGTTCTTCCCATGTACCCCAAAACTTAAAATGCCATTTAAAAAAAGAGAGAGAAAAAAAGAGAATCATCTAGAGAGAGAAAAGCAATAATGCAAGAACGAGAAGGATTGCTAGAGTGATGTACTTGAGAAGGTCAAAGGGGACAGGTTTCAGAGCACAGTTGTAGGGGTTGGCTTTTGCTAAGATCGGGTCTGTATTTGGCGATCACCAAGGACTCGCTTGATTCCTAAATCAGTATATTATGACTTTGCTGAAATACTGTCCACAAGGGAAGCTCATTAGAGACTCAGTGCCCAAGGTTTTTACTGGGGTTGTATTACATAGATACTCTCTGCCTAGCACATACCAAAATTCCAGGCTGGAGGACAGCAGGTGTTCAGCATCAAACATGTTGTTTGCACAAACAATTTAGTCACTCTTATCATTTAGGAATGGTGGGAATCTCCCCCAAATATAAGGTTCCAGATTCCAGCCAAGAGCCAACCTTGTATCCAGTCCATGCCAAGGAGAGCAGTCTCAGGCCTCCTATGTTAACTCTTCCGCACAAGATTCAGTCTGCTCATTGAGAAGAGATGGTATATAGGAAGGATCAGTGTTGGAGATGATGAGTGAAAGTATGGTAATGAGACTGAGGAGATGGGTGAAAACAAAAGATCTTTTTGAAAAGCACTTCTCTAAAAAAATAAAATATATGTAATTGTCAGTGAATAAATGTTTGGAATGCTGTTTCACTTTTAAACCCAAATGCACAATATAGAATAATTGGATGAGATAAAAAATAATAATAACATGGGCCAGGCTCAGTGGCTCATGCCAGTAGTCCCAGCACCTTGAGAGGCCAAGGTGGGCGGATCATGATGTCCTGAGTTGGAGACCATCCTGGCTAACACAGTGAAATTCCATCTCTACTAAAAATACAAAAAAATCAGCTAGTTTTGGTGGCACACACCTGTAGTCTCAGCTACTTGGGAGGCAGAGGCAGGAGAATTGCTTGAACCCAGGAGGCAGAGGTTGCAGTGAACTGAGATCACACCACTAAGTTTGGTTTTCTTTTTCCTGTAAAATTGCTCATACGCAGAGAGAACTATTTAGTATTTTTAAAATGATACTAAGCCTTAATTATGACCTGGTGATTTCTTTTAATAGGGTCAAGAATATGCTCCAAAAAGTGTGGCGATAATTGGTCATTCTATGGGTGGCCTTGTTGCAAGAGCATTGCTTACACTGACAAATTTTAAGCATGATCTGATAAATCTTCTTATTACACAAGCCACACCTCATATTGCTCCTGTGATGCCATTAGATCGTTTCATTACAGGTGAGTACTGTTACATAAACATTAGCTGACCTCCCTATTGTTGCTTAGGATTAAATAAATAAATCCCTACAGCTATTCCCCTTAGAGTATGCTACAGATTTATCCATGTATGAAGCAACTCAATTGCAAACAAGCACTTCCAATACTGAGTGTCTCTCTCTTTATATCTTTGAACTTAGGCTTATAATTGAAACTACTGTTAGATTTTGTGTGTCTATAGCATCTTAACATGGTTGACATGTGTTTTATAATTCCTAGGCACTAGGGCTTCCATTTAGTTTTTGTTTGTTTGTTTTTGGCACAGGGAGTCTTGCTCTTTCACCCAGTCTGGAATGCAGTGGTGTAATCTCAATTCACTGCAACCTCTGCCTCCTAGGTTTAAGTGATTTTCATGTTTCAGCCTTCCAAGTAGCTAGGAATACAGGTGTGCGCCACCATCCCCACTAATTTTTATATTTCTAGTAGAGACAGGGTTTCACCATATTGGCCAGGCTGATCTCAAACTGCTGACCTCAAGTGATCTGCCTATTTCTGCCTCCCAAAGTGCTGTGATGACAGGTATAAGCCACCATGCCTGGCCAGTTTAGTTATTTTTGAGGACAGTACCCTGTCTCTTAAGATGTGTTTAAACTTCCTGTGCTTTGTTAACTGTTTTAGGACTGTATCGAACATAAGCTTATATTTAAGTAGAATAGAATAGTAGCTATGTCTAATTTTTAAATACATAGGTACACTAACACTTTATTTAATGAGGTATAATTCCTAATATTTATTGAAGTCAATATAATTTGGGTATTAAAGACTTCATATGATATATTACCATGCTGAATCCTCACTGCAGTCCTGTGAGGTAGGTACCATTATTATCTTCATGTTTATGGATAGAAAAAGGCCAAGGTAAAGTTCTTGCCCAGAGTCGTGTGGCAAGAAAGTAGTGAAACCAATATTTGACCCTCACAAACTTGCTTCTGGCCTTGTGCTGTTAACCTTTGCATGCTGTACTGCCTCTTAATTGAAGTATATTAGCATAGGAAATAAAACCATAGATAATAATATAATCTTGCAGGAATTTTGAATGAAAAATGGAAATTTGTGATTGATGTCATCTACAAATAGTGATAATGTCACAGAATAAGAATTAAATACCAGTTATCTCAACTTGTTAAAAAAAAAAAGCCAAACATTATCCTCACTGCTTATAGGAATATTATATAAGTAGAAGAAAATCTTTAGAAAGAATTCTTCCTGGTTAGTAAATGTATATAGCTTCTTACCTATTAAAATTTGCATTATTTTAATTTTGAAGAAAATTTTATTTGTAGTTAAGTGAGAAGTATTCACCAGTGACTCCATCTCAAAGTAGTTTTTCTAAAGTGCTCATCTTAACATAACAGCATTGCCAAAGAATTATTTATTTTTTGTTAAGTATCTGGTGCAATAGTAATTATTATGAGGCTCTGTTTTTCTGTTAGTACATTTAAAATTTTGCTTGTAGAAGTCTTTTAATGAGGAAACATTTTAATTTTAAAATAATGAAGTTGTTTAAATTTGTTGTAGTCTAATAATCTTAAATGACCTTAGGTTTGGGAAAAATATTAAAGGCTAAAAGTATTTGTCACCATAATTGAAAACTCTTTCTTTATATTATTGCATTTTATATGGTATATGTAGATGAGCCATGTAGATTAAATAAGAATGACTCAAACATATTTTAAAAATTATTTGAGGAATGAACCTTCAATAGGTTTTATTTCTTTGGAGGGTGGCACTGTTTTGTCTCTAAAAGGCTCAGACTGAAAGTGATTCTTAAGGTTGGGATGTGTTTCCTGTAATTAGTGAGTCTTTCCTATTTATTCTAGATTTATTCACTTTATTTTATTAAGTCAAAATTAGAATGAAACTTTTAAAGTTTTGAGAGACAGAGGTCCATATGACCTCTCAAGTAGATTCCTTTTATACTTGGTGAAAGTACTGCCTTTCAATAGGAGGAAGGAGGCCTTGCACTAGGATCTGCACTTTAGAGGCTCCTGCTGCTCTGCCCGTACCCTTTCCCAGGTGTGAGAAGCATGAAGGTTAAGTAGCTTCCCCATGTGGAGGCTGTGTCTTTACTTCTACATTGTGATCTAGCTAACCAAGCCTCCAGACTTTTCTTGTCTATATAATGTCCCAAGCCTGCTTCCAAGACCTGTATGGGTCTCTTCATTTTCTTTGTTTGGCTGAGGGCAGGTATGTAGAATCCTAAGCTTGAGTTTGGCCAAGGCATAGCTCTGCAGGAAGTACAGACAGAGCTTGCATGTGCACATGAGGCCCTTGCCATGCAGGGTCGACTGGGATGGGAAGAGAAGCACAGTAAGAGTCTAGAGATCTGCTCCCCTCCATTCTGCCACCATCCAGTGGCTAACTCTGAGGTGTCTGAGAGTTCTTAATTTGAACCTGGCCTTCCAGGTTATTTCAATTATATATTTTTCAAAATAGGCAGAAAAAACTGTATTTGATTTAACAAGTTATTAGATGGATTTTTTATTTTTTAAACTATTTAGACATATGGCATGTGTGCCCCACTGATACTTAAATCCCAGGTTCTCCAGATGTTAAGACTCAGTCTGCTAGGTGGTAATCTAAGTAAGTACTGCTGGGATCTTTAATGGGGGCAGCTTGCTGTACCCAATGTTTGAAACTCTGAGGGGGATCAAATGCCAGGATAAAAATGCATTAAGTTTTGATAATCAGGAAAAGAATTGAGAAATCCCCTGCCCTAGCCTCTGTTTAGTCTTTGACACTAGAATTTTCTCACCTCAATAGACAAAGTGAAAAATTGTCCGCAGGTTCTTTCCTTTGAACTACTTGTTACACTAAATGGGTTGAACCCTAACCCTGAGGTTTTCCACAGCAGCATAGTCCTAAGACTAATGTCGGTAGTATTGTCCTGATAGATTGTAAGAATTTAATTAGTACTCTGTGGTGGTGGTTGGCCACAGAGACTTATTAAGCCTTTTTAAGCTGCGACACTGCTATCATGTGGAGGGGTCTACAGCTCTTTTTTTTTTTTCCTTAAAAAAAAACACACACACTATATTGAGGGTAATTGATATATTAAATACTGCACATATGTAATATATACAGTTTGATGGGTTTGAAGATGTGCATATACCATGAAGCCAACACCACAAATGTCTACAACGGTAGCATAGTAAATTCTTATCTTTGGAAGAATATTAGGGTTTTCCCTTTTTGCTGTACTGTGTGACTCATGAGTAAGCATCATCCTTGTGGAATGTAGAAAGGTGTTTGCTTATGGATCCGAAGCTAGTAAAATTTGGGTATCTTTTTTTCAATTAATGCCTTTAGTAACTCTTAGTATTTGCACATTGATTTAATGAGGAAGTCGGAATATGTGTAAAGATAATGATTTTACTGAAAATAGGGAAATGTGAATAACGCACTCTTTATAGATGAAATGACTTAAGGAAAAATTCAGTTAAATGTTAATATTACTGTATAGATATCTTGTTGTTGCAGGGAATGGCTACTATTTTTTAATGTCTCTTTTTTATTCCCTACCAGATTTTTATATGACTGTAAACAACTATTGGATTCTAAACGCTCGACAAATAAATTTAACTACACTTTCTGTAGCTGGAGGATTCCGGGATTACCAAGTTCGTTCAGGATTGACTTTTCTCCCAAAATTAAGCCATCATACCAGTGCCTTATCTGTTGTGGTAATCTTTTTTTAAGATTCTACTGAAATAGTAATGTAATAGACCCAGTGGAACATGAAAGAAGAAATAATATATAGCTGCGTGGTAATGACTGCTGAGTTAGTGGCATAGGACTGCTGTATGTGCATGCATGTGTGTGTGTGAGAGAGAGAGAGGGAATGAGAGAGAAAATGAATGAATGAATGAATGAACATGAATGTGTTGGGAGGGTAGAGTTGTGGATGCTTATGTCCATAGGGAGTAAAAAGGATGGCCAGGAACCATCGCTTATGCCTATAATTCTAGTGCTTTGAGAGGCCAAGACAGGAGGACTGCTTGAGGCCAGGAGTTCAAGACCAGCTTGGGCAACATAGGGAGACCACCCCCACATCTCTACAAAATACGAAAAAATTTAAAATTAGCTAGGCTAATTTAGGCATGGTGCTGAGTGTTCATAGTCTGAGCTACTCAGGAGGTTGAGTCAGGAGAATCACTTGAGCCCAGGAGTTTGAGGTTACAGTAAGCTGTGATTTTTATCACTGCACCTCAGCCTGATGACAGAACAAGACTCTGACTAAAAAAAAAAAAAAAGTACAAAGGATCTTAGAAATGTGGTAAAAATGACCCTATTATTGAGGAATAATGGTTTCTTGTCCAAAATAAGAGCCTATTCATTGATTAGAGTTGTAACTAGAAGAATGTGTGGATTGGAATCCAGGGGAATCTAGTTATATCTGTGTTACACTATATGTAATCATAGTGGAATATCAAACGTATCACATACTCCCAAATGCTAAATTTGAATGAAAGTTTACCAATCTTATAGTAACCTGATTAGCTTTGATAGTATAAGTAGAACGCTGATTAATTAATTTGCTACTTATTCTTCCCTGCTAGGACTTCCATCAAGTATTCGGTCTTTAACTGGGATACATAACCTATGTAAAGTGAGTCAAGTTTCCTTTTAGGACTTCTTTCTTGTATATTTAACCTTGAAGTCTTCAGTTAAGATGGTAGCTTCTTAACTCAGTAGACACATCATCTCCAAATGTAACTTACTTTCTAAAGAGAAAATGCATAGAATGTAGTCTGCCTGTTCCTTTTGCTTTTTAGGAGATAACACTAGAAAGTCACCGTTTCATAGTTGGACCTCTTCATAGATACTCCTTTGTTCATCTCACCTATTGTTGTCCTACTTTAGATTACTGTTCATTCATTAAATAGGTATTTGCTGAATGCTTGGCTTACATAGGACAAAAATTATTAAGCTACTCTGCTATTACCCACCATTTTCATATATCTAGAGGAATTGGGATATAGCCAGAATAGTTTTGAAACTAAATTAGTAAATCTATCAAACCTTGTTATTATAGGTATGAATGTTGTTATTTGGTGTTGAATATTTTGGTCAGATATTTGTTGGAAGTCCTCAAAAACCTGTATGTCAACTCTTTATAAACACAGATGATTTAGTCATCTGAAATTTGATGTAACTTATTTCCTAGAACTTGGCTGGAGCACAATGCTGTATTGATATCACATCATAAAGCTTATCTTTTTTTTTTGAGACAGGGTCTCACTCTGTTGCCCAGGCTGGAGCGCAGTAGCACGATCTTGGTTCTCTGCAACCTCTGCCTCCTGGGTTCAAGCAATTCTCCTGCCTCAGCCTCCCAAGTAGTTGGGATTACAGGCATTTGCCACTTCTGCCTCCCAAAATGATGGGATTACAGGCGTGAGCCACCGAGCCAGGCCCTAAAGCTTATCTTTTAAAGCACTTTGATCTTTTTAGTTGTGTGTGTGTGTGTGTGTGTGTGTGTGTGTGTACTTTATTTTTTCTAATCCATTTGATAATGTGTTGCTTTCAAGTCAGCTTGTTATCTCTGATTTCTGTATCTGATGAAGATATTTTACTTTTGGAACTTTCTCAGAACTGGCCATTGTATACCCTAAGATTTATTTTTTAGCCTCCAGATATTCTACAGCCTTTCATATAGCTGCATGTATATTCACTTTAAAAACTTATTAACAAGTAACAATTTTTGAATGATTATCTCAAGAATAGTTAAATGATGTTTGCATCCACTGGGATGGAAAAATCTTTTAAGTTAGACACTGTAATTATATTAAGAGGGTTGATTTGACTATATTGCTAAAATATAGTCCCACACAGGTAATGACACTTAAGCACAATAAAAGTTTATGTTTTGTTCATGTAACTGCCCTGCATGGGTATTTAGGTTGGTGGGTGGTTTTCTAAGAGGTTCCATTCAGGGACTCAGGCTGAGAGTAGGCATTTCATCTTGAATGTTTTACTTTCAGAGTTGCTCTAGTTATCGTCAACCACAGAAAGGAAGAAAGAGCATGAGGCAAATGTCAGGCTTACAAGTGGCACACATCTCTCCTGCTCACATACCATTAGAAAAAACTCAGTCACATATTAAAGCAAGAGAAGCTAAGAGCTGTAGTCTAGCCAAGTGTGCAAGCAAAGAAGAATGGATTTTGGTAGACATTTAGCAGTTTTCAACATAACAATCATGAGCAACTACCTTTTTGATTTCTGTTGGCTTTCCTTTTTCAACTCTAGCACACATGCGTTAATTAAAGTGAATGGAAGTAAACTGGTTTTACATTCTTGGTAATGGTAAATGCTGTCTACTAAGAGTTCTTACTCTACTGACCATTAATGTAATCAAAGAACGACAGTGAACTCCGATTGTCTATTTTTTTTTTTTAGTAAACTATAAGTAGTAATTTCTAAATATATCAACTACTTATAAGTTCATCAAGTAAAGTGCAGATTCCTCCCACTTCAGAACTTGGAACCCAAAGACACATATTATTTATAGACTTCAAGGGTGATAGTGATTCCTTAGAAGTTATACTTATCTATTTTTTAAGTTCATTTATTAAAGAGACATTTTTAGGCCTCTGTAAATTATCTTGCATCTACGCTATTAGTCTCCTCATTTTGTTTTGACAGTTCTGGTAATGACAGCTCCTTGTCTCTTTGATGGTGCATAGAGAGATGCTATGAAAAATAAAATCAGATTTACTTAATGAGCACCCATTGTGTGTAAGATGCTATTCACAGAGAGGTCATTATCTGGTGTGAAAAAGAGTCTCTAGTTCTTGGAGGGTGCTGTGCCATTGTTAGGAAGCCTTCTGCAAATACTTATATTTTTTAGGAGGCTTTTGTCCTTATACATACTAATCAGCTAGGGATTTTTTTTTTTCCAAAATAAATAAGCCTGGAACCCACTTGTGAAAGTCTGATTTGGTAGTTTTGAAATTGTGATCAGGCATATTTGGTTTGAAAAATCTTCTTAGGCCTAGGAATTTCTTAGGTACACCACTGATGAAGAAATAACATCTTAGAATCTATCAAGTGGTAGTCTGGTCAAAATTAAAATTACTAAAATGTCTTTAGTAACTTACATTATGATTTATAAAAGAATCTTAAACTTATCTCTCATTAGAGTAATAAAAAAAGTTCGACATTAAATTTTAGGAAAGAGTTTGAGTTTGCTTTAATAATTTTTAAAGGGTAATTTAAACTTGACTAACCAGGAATGATATTTATAGAAAGAGTTACGTTTTATGCAGAAAAATTTAATATATTTAGATTGCCTTTTATAAGAATGTATCATTTAAAAATGTCTAAGTGTCACAATATAGTGAAACTATGTTATGTGTTTCTAAATATTAGCTTATAACAATTTCAAACTTTTTAGAGAATAACACATGTATTTTTTGTAAGTTTGATTATTGTTTTTTCTTTCTTTTTTTTTTTTAGAGTTCAGCAGTGCCTAAGACCTGGGTCTCAACAGACCACCTCTCCATAGTGTGGTAAGTTAATACTTATATAACTTATTTTAATGATTTGTCAGGGGCCTATTTTCTTCTCAATGCAGTAATTTAATTGGTTTGTTAACCACTTTTTTAGTCTCAGTCTGTTGCCCAGGCTGGAGGACAGTCGTGCAGTCTCCACTCACTGCAACCTCTCACCTCCTGGGTTCAAGTGATTCTCATGCCTCAGCCTCCCAAGTCGCTGGGATTACAGGCATGTGCCATTAAGCCTAGCTAATTTTTGTATTTTTAATAGGGGTGAGGTTTCATCATGTTGGCTAGGCTGGTCTCGAACTCTTGACCTCAGGTGGTCCGCCCACCTCAGCCTCCCAAAGTGCTGGGATTACAGGTGTGAACCACCGCGCCTGACCTTGTTTGTGGACTTTCTTAGAACATCATCCATATATAAGACTATGGGAGAAATATTAACTTAGGAAATTGGAACTCTAATCTTGGTTCTTGTTTCAGTTTGACCAAGGTTCTCTTGTCAACATATAAAATAACCTCCCAAAAATCTAATAGCATTAGTCTCAAATGAAGCCAACTTCAATTACCAAAGTTTCTGATATTTTCCTAGTTGGGTGGAATCAATTGCACCTGTGGTAGGAGTTTCTGAGCTTCCGGCCAGTCACCATACTCAGATTTGGTTAATGGAGCAGTGACTATTCTAGGGAGTGGCACATGGAAAACCAAGTAGGAATTAAATTTATCTATACGGGTCAAGAAATAGGCAGACCCTAATATATTTCTCATTGTGTTTCAGCGTAAAGATTCTCTTTTGACTTTCCTCTGGCTGTGCAAACAGTAGTATCTGCTAGAATGACATGCTTCAGGCATATAGAGATGGGGTAGATAGTACATCTATAGCTAGGGTAGGTGAGGGAATTTAGGGAAAACAGAAGGACCCTGAAAATTCTGGCAAACATTCAAGAAGATTTGTTTTATTTTTGCTTTAAAGGTTTCGTCTTTAAGATATACGCTAAATAAGAATGATTTGTTACATAATTTTTGAGTTTAGAGCACTAAAGGAAACTCAGATGTTCCATTAAACAGTAAAATTGTATGAAAAGTGTATGTTTCATAAGAAAGTTTTATTTGTAACACTTTATTCCTCAGGTGTAAACAATTGCAGTTGACTACGGTTCGAGCGTTCTTTGATCTTATTGATGCTGATACTAAACAGGTATGTATTTTTAAACTAAAAATTATTTAAGCGAAAGCTTTTACTTTACTATATAATTTACAAGCGTGGTGGATTTAGTGTATTTTTTTTACCTTGATGAAAATAGAAGCATATACCTTGTATCAATTTTAATTAGTTCAAATATGGAAATATCTTTCTTTTTCTCATAATATTTGGACTGCTGTGAATAATTTGTAAAATGCAATGAACATGAAAAAGTGAAGGAACCTTAAATCTTCCCCCAGTTCTTCCCACTGTTTAAAGTTTGACATATAGCTTTTTTTTTTTTTTTTTTTGATAGAGTTTCACTCTGTCACCCGGGCTGGAGGGCAGTGGCGCGATCTTGGCTCACTGCAGCCTCTGCCTCCCAGGTTCAAGCAGTCCTCCCACCTCAGCCTCCTGAGAAGCTGGGACTACATATGCACACCACCAGTATTTTTAATAGAGATGACATTTCACCAAGTTGGCCAGGCTGGTTTCAAATTCCTGACATCAGGTGATCCACCTGTCTTGGCCTCCCAAAGTGCTGGGATTACAGGCGTGAGCCACTATACCCGGCTTTCTTTTAATTTTTAAATGTAGGGGAAATGCTTCTTACAAACTATTTTATAAATTTTTTTTGTAATACCTTATAAACATCATTATCTAGCTTATGGGTTTTTTTTTTTTTTTTGGTGATTTTTGATCATTATCTATCTTATTAGACTTTTTTTTTTTTGAGAGACAAATTCTCACTACGTTGTCCAGGCTGGACTCAAAGTCCTGGGCTCAAGTGATTCTCCCACCTCAGCCTCCTGAGTTTATTAAACATTTTTGAACCATGTTTTTTTTTAAAGCACTTTAGCGTTCTGATAAGATTAGAATGTGTAATTTATTGAATAACCTAAGCTCACCAGAACTTAAATTATGTACTTCTGCAAGATTTACCTTCTCTATAATGAGATTTCACAGTGTAAACTCTTCAAACTAGTAATTTTTCAAATTGTTCAATTAGCAGAACAAATGGAAGCCATAGTATCCTTTACAGATTATCACATTCCTCTTTTATCTCTTTCTTGTCTGCTAGCAGATAAATGGTAGCAGGTACCAAGGATTTCAGCAAAATTCAGAGAATTATTTCCATTAACTTAAATTTTTTTCTGTGAGTTGGAAACAGATTGCCATTATTCATCTTCAACAGCCTTTTACCTCAGGTCATCTTGATACATGGAAATATATTTTGAGAACTATGGCTCTGGCTTTTTCTTTTGGAGAAAAAAATTTCTTATTTTTTAAGTAGTCTTTTTCATGGCAAAGCATTGCAACCCATATATTTTTGGAGTGTTTCCCCTGAAGGCTCCAATTCTTTGGGAAACTAATATGAGTGGCCTCTTGCTCAATAGGTCTCCAGGCAATACTTTTCTACCTATGAGGAAAGAACCTTTGTCCTTCTGTGTAGTCTCTTAGAAGGGTAGGGATTTTTTTTTCCTTAACTCTTCAGAAAGCTGCATAATCACTCTTAACGAGAATCATAGATACTTAGCTCTTTCCTGAAGATCCAAGTCATTTTGTGTTAACCACATTTTAAGCTGCAAGATTCGGTGTTAAGTTAGTGTATTTATTGATTTGAATAAGCTTCACCGAGTTGACACTGTGACTTGGTCAGGAACACAAATAATTTTTGGTTTATCAACATTGTTTTAACTGTTGAGACTTAGCCTTGGTAAAGCTGCTAAGCCTACTTGAGGGACTGCAACTGGATACAATAATAGAATCAATTAAAGTTGTTTGTACTTGCACTGAGGTTTGGTAAACTTAGGAAAAACCTTATTCCAACTCGTGAAGAACAGGATACCTCAGTCAGGTATATTCCTAAAAAAATTGGACATAAAACTAATTTCAGTAAATAAAATCATGTTTTTCCATTAACTTGTAAGATGAGAAAAGTACTATAGTACTAGTATATAATGAATTATAATTCCGAATGTATAAATATTTTATGCCATTTTAAGGGGAAAATGAGAAATTTTTGATAACCATATTGCTAAGAATCAAAAATACTGTTGATGAAACTGAGTTTTGTTTTAAAAACTCACTATTTGTAATTGACTTGACTAAATAGTAGAAAATAAAAACTTAAGGTATGATACCTAACCCTCGGGAAGCATATAGTCTAGGAGAAAAGCAGAACATATATATTCAGAGAAACTAAAATGCAAAGCATAATTAGTCCTAAGCATGGTGATAAGGCAGGAATCAGAGTAATTTTTGGTGGTTATTAGCATAAAATTCATAGCTAAAAACTTGTGAGTAGATGGATTGCCTAGAGAGCGAGTAACGTTGGTAGAATCCAGTCTTAATTAAGTTTTGATAGGCTGTAACATTTAATTGATTGCAAACAGATGTGGCCACTTAAGAAAATCACACAAATTTAGTATGCGATTGAGTTCTTCGAAGTAGAGAGTTTACATGAATTAATAAAAAGTTCCACTGGCCTCCATTCTGCTGACACCATATCTAGAGAACCGTATTCTATTTCATGCATGATATTTTGAGAGGGACGTCAGCAAACTTGAGTTTATCCAGAGGAGGCAATCAGGATGGTGAAGGGACTAAAAGAGTTCTGTGATAAACAGTTGATATATTTGAAGTTGTTTTATCTGCAGAAGAAATGTTTTGTTTGAATGGCGGACATAGCAAGCTTCTAATTTTTGAAAGACTGTTTCCCAATCTAAGATGGCAGTGCAATAAGGAATCAGATATTTGCTCTAAAAAGGGTAAAGCATTCTCCTGATAAGAGTTGTTAAAATTGGAATGCACTGCCTTACAAAGTAGCAAATTAAAAATGCTCAAGGAAATGCTGAATGACTTTCAAAGGGCTTGGAAAGGTTTACTATACCTGAATCCTTATTACATCTTTGCCATTCTCATTCTGTTGTTGAGAAAAGTCACTTACCTGTCAGGGTCTCAATTATTAAACTCGAGAGTTGAATAATGGTTGATACCAAATGGATTTTACACCCCAGTACACTTTTTTTTAAGGGATGTGCTTGTATAAAGTTGACAGCTTTTTATCGTGCCAGGATATTTAGAAAACAAGTAGAAGGATAGAATAAAAGAGAGTAATTTCTATGGTAGGAAAGTCGGTAATATTTTCTCTAGTGACCAATGGGTTCTTTGTTGTGGTGTTGGAAGTATTCTGAATTTGAAAACTGGTGTGTTAGAATCATTAGACCAAAGAATCTCTAAATCTCTCATCTGGTTCTATACATTTTTATAATGTTTTATTCTTAACTGTAACTTGAGGGGCACTATTACCTAATGATGAAAGCATGACTCTAGAGCCAGAATGCCTGGGTGTAAGTCCCAGCCCAGACTTAATAGCTGTGTGATCTTGGGCAAATTCCTTAATTTATTTGTGCTTAAGTTTCTTCACATTTAAAGTGCAGATAATATCATTATCTTTTAGAGTTTTTGTGATTGAGTTCATGTACAGTGCTCAGAACAGTGCCTGGCTCAGAGTAATAAATGTTGGCTGTTGTCATTATTACTGAAGCAATGTTTCATTGAACTATTACAATTGATACAAAATGATACAGAATGTGTCAATGTGCTTTCTAGATAACTCAAAATTCCAAGAAGAAATTGGCAGTTTTGACTCACCACTTTATAAGACACCCATCAAAACATTTTGAGGAAAATCCAGCTATAATTTCTGACTTAACAGGTTGGTGACAGTAACATATTTTAATTTTAAATGGAGTATTATTAATTTTGGGTTAATTTGTTTGTAGGAGACAAAATCTTTGAAACTGTGATACTTCAAGTTTTAGGGTCCTATTGTATATGTATAATTAATTTCCCTATGATGATGCTGGTGCAGTTCTTGGTTAGGAAGGGAATAAGAGAAGCAACATGTAAGAGGTTGCTGATTAAAATTTTGTCCTGAAAATAACATGACAAATAGAAAAAAATTCAATTAAATGATTGTTCTCCTAACAATTACATAAAATAAGTGCCATGTTATTCTTGCCTCCTTTCAGTTTCTAAATTATCAGTTATTATTCATTCTTCTTTTGGATACCAACATATCTTTTGCTGATAAATTTTGTTTTTAAATATAAAGCAAAACAACTTGCTTTGTCTATTTAAATGTAAAGCAAATTATACCTGCTATATAATTAAATGTCTTGTTTGGAAAGTGAAATATTTATTTTCTTTATTTTCTTATTTTGATAATTCCTTAGAGTTAAAGGACACCAAACAGATTTATACTTTACTTGATGTGAATGCTAGTTGGTGATGAGCATATAGAAAATATATTACTAGATTTTCTGTTTTAATATAGCCAGTGTTCAGGAAACCACTTCTTTATTGTGACTGAGAAGTATTTCACCAGGATTCAAAGAAGAAAGAAACTATGTAGTATAAAAACAAAACAAGGCAAATAAATTAATTTCCTTTACCTTAAGGGACATCTATGTGGGTTCCAGTAAAAGTGTCCAAATGGACCTATGTAGCTTACAATGTAAGTATTCCACCAATGGATTTTTTTTTTCATTTTTTTCTCCGGAAATAATTTAGTACTTATCTTTAAAAGTTAAAGACTCTTTTAAAAGAGATAACTGCATGCCATTTCCCCATGATTTAATAGTAATTCCTTAAGAAGAATCTAGTCAGTAATCAGTTTTATCATCCATTTATTTTTGCTGTTTTCTTTGATTTCAGTTTGTTTACATCAGGATCCAAGCAAGGCCTACACATTGTTATTGATTAATGTCTCTTATTCCTTTTTAATCTGGAAGACTTTCTCTTACCACCACCCTCTCCCTTTTTTTCTTGAAACTTATTTGTTGAAAAAAAACCAAAAACAACAAGTCATTTGTCCTCTAGAGTTTTACATTCTTGATTTTACTGATTGCATTCCTATAGTCATTCAACATGTTCCTTTGCCAGTTGTGGTCCTGTGATTTAGTAGTTGGATCTAGCTGCTTTTTCATATTCAGATTTTTATTTTGTTTTTGTTTTTGCTAGGCTCTATTTTTGTGATGTTAGCCACTGTTGATGAGGAATGCCTGGAGTTATTAATTAATTTAGGAGGATGCAAAAATGATGATGTTTACTTTTATTATTTATTAACTAGAATAGTACTCTAGTTAATTCTATATGCTTAGAGAAAAACTTCTGCCAATCTACTAATCATAAGTAGAATGAATCATGTGAGGAATGATAATTGTGTGGATCTTTGGATATTAACTTATATTTACTCATTATCAGAATGGTGAGTTGGCTCACATGTATCCTCTTATCAATGACCATTAGAGGGTCTCAAAACCATAATCTGGTGCTAGAAATGCTTATAGGTATTGGATTGGCATTTCTAGGCCTTTTCAGTGGCCAGAGCTAAGAACTGCATAAAAGCTTAACTAAAAAGCAAAACAAAAACAAACAAACAAACAAAAAAAACACACAATAAAACAACAACAACAAAAAGTTCATTCACACTGATACTTCCAGGACAAACTGAGGACTACAGAGTTTATACCTAATCTTTCTCTTGCCCTTCTGTATCTTCCTCCTTCTGCTCCTAGAGTATTGGTTCTCAACAACACCGAGATGATAGAATTAGAATAATTACTCATTTGCTATATCTGGTTTTTGGAATGATTAAATTAATATACTCATTATAGCTATATTGAGTGTTTCCTTCTTTTTTTAGGAATCTGAGAAGATATATTTTACATTTCCTCTTGAAAATCATAGAAAAATCTACACTCATGTCTATTGTCAGAGCACTATGCTGGTAAGATAATTGGTACATTCTACGTAGATTTAAGAGGTTAAACTATTGTTCATTTTTCAGATTCTACTGATAGACCTAGTTAAATCTAAGTAGTTGAAAAATAATTTCTCTGGAACAGTGTTTTAATTGAAAAGTATTAATCAGAAATTTTCTATCACAGATACTATGCTATTAAATTGTAACTTTGGTTCTAGTTTAGGTCTTCCACCCTGTCTTTCTGCCTTAGTTTTACTCTGTTCAAGATGAAGAAATGGAATTCAAAACCCCTTTAATTCTAAGTTTCTATTAGTACTTTAAAGAATAGATGTAAGTAAGCAAAGCTATTCTATAGTAACTTCATAAAGTGAATTCTGTTTTTCCATTGGTTTCCATACTAAAATTTGAGGTACTTTTTATACCAAATATTCTGTAATATAATAGAGTAACTTTTACAGTGTTATCTAGATTTACTGTATCAGAATGATTTTGATTTTTGTGTTTCTTCTTTTTTTTTTTTTTTTCACTTTCAGCTCAGGCTTTAGATTCATTGTGTTTCTTTTTAATGAGTATTGTTATGCACTGTTAAAAATTGTGATACTGTTTAAAAAAGCTGTAGCGTGCATTTATTATGATATTAGGAATGGAAGCCAGGTGTGGTAGCTCACACTTATAATCCTGTCACTTTGGAAGGCTGAGGTGGGTGTGTCTTTTGAGCTCAGGAGTTTGAAACCAGCCTGGGCAATGTGATGAAACCCCATCTCTGCAAAAAATACAAAATACTTAGCTGGACGTGGTGGCACACACCTGTAGTTCCTGCTGCTTGTGGGGCTGAGGGAGGAAGAGCACTTGAATCCAGAGGTTGAGACTGCAGTGAGTTGAGATTATACCACTTGTGCTCCAGCCTGTGTGACAAAATGAGACCCTGTCTCAAAAAGAAAAAAAAAAAAGAAGAAGAAAGTAATGCTTAAATAATACTTCAATAATTTATCTATATTTTTAACTTTCAGGATTTTTTCTTAATTTGGATTATTTTTCCTCTATTCTGATTTTTTTTTTGTCATGTCGCAAGATTCTTCACTTTATATTTCCATGTGTTCCTTCTTCTCCCTTTTGTTAAGTTATTTGTATTTATTTAGAACCAAAATCTAGTACTTTGCTGGAGATGCTGACATCTGATTATATAGTAAAATCTTTTTAAAAAGATGATAGGCATGTGGGCTGGGTGCTAATGAATACTACATTTTAGTGAAATTGCCAGACTTTTGTATCTCTCACAGAGACTAGCATCTCTCAGCCTAAAATCTAGATGGGCTCTTTACCCTGGCAGATTCTGGCCCTGCGAGTAATGGCTTAAAATATCCTTTCTCACTTAATATTGAATTTCAAATCAGAATGTCACTATTATATGGAGAAAAATGCCTGCCAAAGTGCAAATTATTCATTTGGCTGATGGGGGGATCTTTTTTTCTGTATTTAATGTTCACTCGTATTAATTAGCATAAAGTCACGTGGTGAATTTAAAAAATCTTTTTAATTTTTATTTTATAAGTTTTCAAGCATATGTAAAGGCAGAAAGAAAATATTAGAATGAATTTTTTTATAATCCTCACACAGCTTTAACAGTTATCAATACTCTGTCGTACATCATTTATTCCTTCCCACTCTTCTTGACTGAAGAATTTTAAAAGTAAATTCTAGGCATTTTATTAGTTCATCCATAAAGTATGTTTTTCTATAAGGATTTTACATATTACCATGCCATTATTTTCTCCAACCAAATTAATACTAATTCCTTACTATCATCTGATATTCACTCCATGTTCAGTTTTCCTTGGTTCACTTAAATTTCAGGTTTATTTGAATCAGAATCTAATGTATACATTGCCTCTGGTTCACAGATCTTAAGTCTCTTTTATAATAAATAGCCCCCACCCTTTTCCCCACATTCTGGGTTTAACTGATTGTATTCTCATAGTGTCTTTTAGTATGTATTTCTATCCCCTATATTTTCTATAAACTGGTAGTTAGATCTAGAATCTTGATTAGATTTAGATTAATTTTTTATAGTAAGAATGTTTTATGAGTAGAGCTGTGTATCACCTATTTCTTGATATCAGGAAGTACACAATGGCTTTACCACTTCTAGAGACAAAAATACTGGTGGGCTCTGTGGTGCCAGCATGGGTCCATCTATTATAAGGTACCCAGTCAATCTTTCACTTAATGATTTTAGCAGCCATTATAGGCATTGTTTTTTACTGTAGACAGAATTTTTTGAGAACTATAGATTTTTGATTAGCAGCATTTTCTTTCCTATACACTTTAGGAGTTAGTCAATAATCCCTGAGTAACTTCTAAGGTTTTTGTAACTAGTTAGCCTTTTGACACCTAGGTTATATCAACATGATGTCTTAGGGTGGGCTTGAGTCATACATTATCTATTCAATCCATTGATGAATGAATCAGAATTTCCTGTACACTGAAGTAGTGTGGAATATCAGCAATTTTTATAATGAAGGCTACGTTTGAGGATAGGCCCCCCTTAGTAGCTGTAAAAACCCTTTACAAAAATGGGTTAGATCTTTACAGGCTGCTAGATTTTCTGTGTCCAGGCTGTTTCCAGTTCTGTTGCCTTGCTTCTTTAATGTCATATTATCGTTCTGGGAATTACAGGGAACTGATACAGGACTCATAAAAATATTTTGCCTGCAGAGAAACACCACATTTTTTTGTTTGTTTCCTATCAGCTTTCTTTATATAAGCCTGAAAAATGTCTTAGCATTTTATTTAAGCTGAATGAGAGCAGAGACTGTGTCTGCCCGATTCAACATTTTCCTGAGGGCTTAGCATATAATTCCTTGGCCCTAGAATGGATTTTATAAATATCAGTTGAATAAAAGGATTGATTTCTTGATTGTCCCATCTAGAATTCAAAGGACAAATGTATTTAGCTATCTGAGCAGTGTTTCTCATCCTCTTATGTGTTGGTAGGATTTCAGTAGTTAGATAATTATATATCAGAACATTGTTCTTACTTCCTTAAAAGTTGCAGTGAAGATCTCAGGTCACACTGCTTTTAATTGATTAAAGCTAAATACAGATTGTGTTAAAATGTCATAATATCTCTGCAGCATTTCCAGCCTGTGCTGATGAATCTAACCAGCTTTAGTTTGGAGCCCTTGGAATTATGATTTAGTCCAAACACATTCTTGGTTGTGTAAAAGTTATTTGCTGGTCACTTTGGGATAGTGTTGGGCGGATCACAAGGTCAGGAAATTGAGACCATCCTGACCAACATGGTGAAATCCTATCTTTACTAAAAATACAAAAATTAGCTGGGTATGGTGGCGCCACTGCACTCCAGACTTCATCTCAAAAAAAAAAAAAGATGTTATTTGCTGTTAACCAAATGGGAACTCAAATGATAAAGTGAAATGCAGTGTCTAAGTTAGTTTCATTTGGTTGGCTATGGATTTTAGTTTGTTTAAAAGTCTACCTCCAGCTTTTCTTTCTTTGTTTAAAAAATGTAGATTACTTTCTATCTAATTAAAGTATGGACATTACTGATCTCTTTGAAAATTTTGGTTCAATAATTAGAAATGCTTAGGTGATATGCTGTAGAGAGATGGCAGGGCATGGTGGCTCATACCTGTAATCCCAGCACTTTGGGAGGCAGAGGCAGGCGAGTCATTTAAGGTCAGGAGTTTGAGACCAGCCTGGCCAACATGGTGAAACCTCCTTTCTACTAAAAATACAAAAATTAGCCGCACGTGATGGTGGGTGCCTGTAATCTCAGGAGGCCAAGGCAGGAGAATCACTTGATCCCAGGAGGAGGAGGTTGCAGTGAGCCAAGGTCACACCACCTGGGCAACAGAGCAAGACTCCATTGAGAGAGAGAGAGAGAGAGAGGAGAGAGAGAGAGAGAGAGAGAGAGAGAGAGATGAGAGAGATTGAGAGAGAGAGAGAGAGAGATTGAGAGAGAGAGAGAGAGAGAGATACAGAGAGAGAGAGAGAGAGAGAAAGAAAGAGCAAGAGCAAGAGCAAGAGCGAGTGCTGTCAGGGCAGTCTTTCTCATACTCTTGCTCCAGGATAACCACTTACCTATCAATGTTGACATTAGACTTCTTTACCCATCCTTGATTTGTTTGACTTTGAGAACATCTTGGATATGTTTCTCAATAATAAGCTATTATTTATGTTTCACTTGCTCCCAGTCACTTTATACTTATATAAGTATGAAGTATTGAAGATGGATGCTTGTTTCATATAATTGTGTTCTACAATACTTACTGTGTTTTGTTTTGTACTGTTAATCAACAGGATACAAATAGTTGGATTTTTGGTTGCATAAACAGCACTTCTATGTGGTAAGTCTTTTGAACCCACTGTTCATTTATCTAAACATAAACAGTACTTGGAAATCACACTTTAAGAATAGCTTCATACATTGTTATTATCATTTTGATGCTATGTGAAATTATAGTATTGTTTTTAAAATGAATAGTAAAGGAAATGAATATACTAGTAATTTTTGCAAACATTGAAATTAGGAAAAACATTTTTGTTTCTAAGGGAACTATGTGGACAGAGTATATTGGATTAGACTCACTAGACATCTCTACTAGGTGTAGAGATGATTTCTTTTTCCTTTGAATCTTATTTATAATTTATAATACTTCCATATATTTGTCCTTTAATTATGTTTTCATATTTATTTCAAAGCCGACAAGGTGTTGATTTATCATGGAAAGCTGAACTGCTGCCAACAATTAAGGTAAATTATGGCTTCAGAATTTTAATGTTCAGGTGAAAAAATACTTGAGTCTATATACATTTTAACATATTCTTTTTCATTAGCTTATCTTGATATTAAATAAGTTTGAGATTTGCTAACCTATGTTTAAAAAATATTTTTCCTAGAAATACATTTGATAGGGAATAATATGCAATTAGTGTTATATATATATATATATATATATATATATATATATATATATATTTTACTTTCAGAGATAAAGTATATATATATATTTTACTTTCAGAGATAAAAACTGTAAGTTAACAATCTTCTAAATCTCTGTCTGTTATAGCTTCATACCAAAAGAACTGGATGGATTTCTAACATTCAATTTGAGGATATGTTTGAATGGCCTGCCTTAAAATATGAGCTGAGTAGTATACTTAGAATTCATTCTGGGAGGAAGGGCCTGCAGTAGGAAGGTGGACATCTCAAAATGATATGATACATGGTCAAGCACTCGAATAACTAGTTTATCTAGTACTTCCCAGGGTGATAAGTCACATCAGGGATTTATTTAATAGTTGCTTATTATTTGATTAACCCACTCTGGTGGGTCAGCAAGTTCTTTTATAAAGGGCTTATTTGTGTAGTCTCAAAATCTATTGTTGAAAAAGCAAAATAATTATAAAATTTGATGAAAATATCTGTTCTGATTTCCAAATTGTATTTATTGTAATTGATAATGTTATATCAGGATTGATAGTTTTCAGTCTTCAAGTAAATCTATACTTTAAAAATAAAACACCGTTTCATAATGAATCCTAAACTCATTCATTGACTTGAAAGTGAAATCATCTGGTGGTGCCAGTCATTTCACACACAGTTAACTCCAATTAAGTTAGTTATTTTTGATCATGAATATTTATAATTATTTGTATATATAGTCAACTCTATACTATACAGAGAGTGAGTAACTTATACTAACAGAGAGGAATGATGACAAAAAAAATAATTGCAAGTCATGCTTCCCTTTGGAATGGTTGCAGTTCTTTTTGTTACCTTGCTAAATCTTATTTGTACATATTCATTTGTGCGACCTTGAGTTTATCAAACAAATATGATAGAAAAGTAAATTGACTCATGAACATTTTGAAGGTCTCTCACTGGTACTATTCCTGACCAGGATCAAAACAAACAAAAGTATTAGGATATACTTACTGATCAGTTATTTATAAGGTGTAATTAAATATTTCTTCAACTTATTTTTTTTATTTCAATAGCTTGAGGGGTATAAATGATTTTTCATTACATGGATGAATTTTATAGATTAATTTAGCAATTATATCCAGCCTATAAGAAGAAATAAATTATTAAAAACTCAATAAAATGTATTTTGCTCCTATGCTTTAAAAGGTATTTCTTAAATCATAAAATTTTTATATTATTCTTTTAAATCTCCAAAGATTAATCAGTTTCTCCATCAAACACTAGGTCCCTATGTTGTTTGTTCTGCCTGTAGGAAACAGCTGGCTGAACAGCAGGAGAACAAGTTATTTCAGCTGCCTACTTTTCATGGCAAATACTGAAAGAGAGAAGTTAGAAAACAGGAATTATAGCATTCTGCAATGTTACGTGCTCACAGCTTAAGAGGATAGATTTTTTTTATTGTAATGAAAATCAAAATTGTATGTAATATGTATTAGCCATTTATAAATAGCACACAAAATTGTTTTGCTGTGAAATTGGAGGAATGACTAAAGCAAAGAAATTTTGTAGAGTTTATTCATATTAATACCATCTCAAAAAAAATAATGTCAGATGAGAATTATATCACCGTTAGACATTTCTGTGGACTGAACTTTTAATAAATACATGGGGCCCTCCATCAAAGCACATATAAATTCAACACTTGGCCATTGTTGAGAAAAAATACTTAAAAGCTATTAGAGTGAATAGTGGCACAGATTACCCAATTAATTAATTTATGTTTCATATTAGCTACCATTTTGGTAGCTAATTTAGGTCTTAGCTCCCTGTAGCTGTGGTTTATATGGCTCTTTTAAGTCTTTTTAATTTACATTAGAACATATGAGTCTGTCACAGGGACTTTGCTAAGTTGGGGCAAAGCCCAGGAGTTTATGTTTAATAAGCATGCCACAAGAATCTGGTCAGGTTGTTAGAAGGCTACTCACTGATGGGACTTTAGCTTGAGCATCTCTGTCCTACTTGCCTACACTGGTGCTTCTGAAGAAGATTGGAGAAAACAAAGAGTCTTTAGAAATGTTTTAATGCAAACATATTGTTAGAACGTATAACTACTTTCACCCCACACATACTTCCATAACAAAACTTGATTAAAAACTTTATTTGGGTGATTCATCACATACACAGAACTTAAGACAAAAGCCACATTATTATCTATTATCTCAATAGATGCAGAAAAGGCTTTTGATAAAACTCAACACCCATTCATTTTAAAAACTCTCAGTAGACTAGGTATTGAAGAAACATACCTCAAAGTAATAAGAGCCATCTAATGACAAACCCACAGCCAACATCATACTGAATGGGCAAAAGCTGGAAGCAATCCCCTTGAAAACTAGCACAAGACAACAATGTCCTCTCTCACCAGTCCTATTCAACATTGTACTGGAAGACCTGGACAGGGCATTCAGACAAAAGAAAGGAATAAAGGGCATCCAAATAGGAAGAGAGGAAGTAAAATTATCTTTGTTTGCAGATAGCATGATCCTATTCTCAGCCCAAAAGCTCCTTAAGCTGATAAGCAACTAAAGTAGAGTCTCAGGATATAAAATCGATGTGCAAAAATTACTAACATTCCTATTGACACCAACAACAGTCAAGCCAAGAGCCAAAGCAGGAACGAAGTCCTATCCACAATTGCCAAAAAAAAGAATAAAAGACCTAGGAATACAGCTAATCAGAGAGGTGAAAGATCTCTACAAGGAGAATGACAAAACACAGCCGAAATAAATCAGAGATGACATTAACAAATGGATAAACATTCCATATTCATGGATAGGAAGAATGAATATCATTAAAATGACCATACTGTTGAAAGCAATTTATAGATTCAATGCTATTCCTATTAAACTATTATGGGCATTTTTCACAGAACTAGAAAAAAAACTATTTTAAATTTCATATGGAACCAAAAAAGAGCCCAGTTTAGCCAAGCCAATCCTAAATAAAAAGAACAAAGCTGGAGGCATCACACTACTTGACTTCAAACTACACTCCAGGGCTACAGTAACCAAAACAGCATGGTATTAGTACAAAAACAGACAAATAGACCAATGGAACAGGATAGAGAACCCAGAAATAAGGCCACAGACCTACAACTATCTGATCTTCAACAAATCTGACAAAAACAAGTAATGGGGAAAGGTTTTCCGATTCAATAAATGGTGCTGGGTTAACTGCCTAGCCTTATTGCAGAACATTGAAACTAGACCCCTTCTTTATACCATATATAAAAATTAACTCAAGATGGATTTAAAACTTAAATATAAAACCCCAAACTATAAAAACCCTGTAAGACAACCTAGGCAGTACCATTCTGGACATAGGAATGGGCAAAGATTTCATGATGAAGATAACAAAACTAAAGAGCTATTAAACTAAAGAGCTTCTGCACAGCAATGGAAACTATCAACAGAGTGAACAGACAATCTACAGAATGGGAGAAAATTTTTGTAAACTCTGCATCCTACAAGTGTCTAATATCCAGCATCTATAAGGAACTTAAACAAATTTACAAGATAAAAACAACCCATTATAAAGTGGGCAAAAGACATGAACCAACACTTTTCAAAAGACATACATGCAGCCAACAATCATATGGGAAAAAAGCTGAACATTACTGACCATTAGAGAAATGCAAATCAAAACCACAGTGAAATACCATCTCACACCGGTCAGAACGGCTGTTATTAAAAAGTCAAAAAATAGCAGATGCTGGTAAGGTTGTGGAGAAAAAGGAATGCTTACTTGCTCTTGGCAGGAGTGTAAATTAGTTCAACCATTGTGGAAGACAGTGTGATGATTTCTTAAAGACCTAAAAATAGAAATACCATTTGACTTACCAAACCCATTACTGGATGTGTACCCAAAGGAATATAAACCATTCTGTTTTAAAGACACATGTATGCATGTGTCCACTGCAGCACTATTCACGGTAGCAAAGACATGGAATCAACCTAAATTCCCATCAGTAGTAGACTGGTTAAAGAAAATGTGTTACATATACATCATGGAATACTATGCAGCCATAAAAATGAATGAGATCATGTTCTTTGCAGGAACATGGATGGAGCTGGAAGCCATTATCTTTAGCAAATGAATGCAGGAACAGAAAACCAAATACTGCATCTTCTCACTTATAAGTGGGAGCTGAATGATGAGAACACAGGGACATGTAGGGAGAACAACACACACTGGGGCCCATTGGAAGGTGGAGAGTGGGAGGAGGAAGAGGATCAGGAAAAATAACTAATGGGTAACTAGGCTTAATACCTGGATGATGAAATAATCTGTACAACAAACCCCCATGACACAAGTTTCTTATGTTACAAACTTGCACATGTACCCCTGAACTTAAAAGTTAAAACCTGTGTTTGATGTCTTGGCTTTTCATTAAAGAGGCAGTCTTCTACCAATTCATTCCTCAAAATATGGACTATAGGATCTGGTCTTAATTTTGAGAAGTGAATACTCATTTGGTGAGGTACATTATTTAGACATACTTGTCTTTATCATTTGCTGAATAAATTCCAGGGGATGATGTGCAGATATGCCACTAGCCAGCAACTCTTTACTATTTGGGCTAGATCAAAATTATTTGATATTCAATTGTAACTCTTTCATTATATTTAGCATCCATTCATTCAACAGCTATTGAATGTTTTTTGTTATATACTAACAAAATAAATGTAGAAACAATACTGTGACACTATATGTAACAACCAAATTATAAAAAGATACCAAATTTGGAAATACTTATACAAAATAATTAAATTTAACGATTAACATCATTTGTTTTATGTGAAGGGATCCAGGGAATATTTTGGCAGTCCCTATTTAACATAATTATTAGGAATTTGATTTTCAACAGGATTATTGACCTGGAAATATAAACATGGGCATTTCATGAAGTACCTAACATAAATTGGAAGTCTGCTTTTTAAAATAATTAAGAAATAAGTGTAATTTATCTTTCTGTAAACATGTATTAATCTCTTTAAACATGTATTAAACATGAAATAAAAATAGTTTATCTTTTTTTTTTTTTTTTTAGTCTCTGACATTAAGACTTCAAGACTATCCATCTTTGTCTCATCTTGTTGTTTATGTACCATCTGTTCATGGAAGTAAGGTAACACATGAATTAAGATTATTATCAGAATGTTTTGGGGATACATGCTAAATTTTACAGTTCTTTTCGATGAGTTATTCTACACAGAGTTTATCTAAAACAGTAGCCACTTTGATGATCGACCTAAGACTGTTAATTATTAGGATCATCTACTCCAACTTGAACTAAGCAGAATAAACCAAAGTGTTTTTGTGCCAAGTGAGAGCTGGTTTCAGTTTATCAATCAGTCTTTCAAAACCTGTGAATTACTAGGCACATAATAATAATTCATAGGTCCAAAACCTATGACTTATTTGGTACCCTTTAAGTACAAGGCTGTGTAGCAGGAATTATAGGAGGCACACAAATGAAGACATGACCCTGTTTTTTTTTTTTTTGTGATGGAGTCTTGCTCTTTCACCCAGGCTGGAATGCAGGCACAATCTTGCCTCCTAAGTTCAAGTGATTCTCCTGTCTCAGCCTCCTAAGTAGCTGAGACTACAGGCCCATGCTATCATGCCCAGCTAATTTTTGTATTTTTAGTAGAAATGGGGTTTTGCCATGCTGGCCAGGCTGGTCTTGAACTTTTGACCTCAGGTGATCCCCCAACCTCAGCCTCCCAAAGTGCTGGGATTATAGGTGTGAGCTACTGCACCTGGTCGACATGACCCTGTTCTTAAATAGCTGCATACTGTTGGGAAGAGGGAGAGAAATGTAACTGGAGCAGAGGGAAGAGTGAAAAAAGAACTACCCAAATACACATAACACAAATCACAATATAGCAAGTACATGAAAAGAATGACATTATAATAAGGTGATATTTAAAATGGCTTTAAAGTGGGCATGGTAGCAGGTACCTGTAGTCTTAGCTACGTGGGAAGTTGAAGCAGGAGAATTGCTTGAAACCAAGAATTCAAAGCTGTAGTATGCTATGATTATGCCTGTGAATAGCCACTGTATGCAGCCTGGTCAACATAGTGAGACCCCACCTTTAAAATGAAATGAAACAAAACAAAATGGCCTTAACAGATAGTTAGGATTTTTATAAGAAAAATGAACGTTGTAGACCCATGCTATCAATACAGGAAGCACTAGCACATGTGGTTATTTCAATTTAAATTAATATAAAATAAAAATTTCTGCTCCCTAGTTGTCCTAATCACATTCCAGTTGCTTAATAGTAACATCATTGCTAGGAGTTATAATGGATGGCACTGTTTAGACAAAGCAACAGAGCAAAGTACGAAGTATATTTGAAAAACAGTGAATAAGTAAATAAGAATTTTGAAAGGATGGCCACCATGGGTAGAATAGTAGTGGAGGAAAAGTCTGGACAATTAGTTCATGGCCATATTATGAAAGTCTTGATTGGAGGATTCAGGACTTCACAGAATTCAGAAGTCACTAGGAAGCCCTAAGATTTTTCACTATAGTAGTAATAGTCTCAGAAATCATTTATTTGGGAAGATTTAATCTCCTTATGGTGTAGAATAGATTAGAAACAGAGTAGGCATCTCATAAGGGACTTTTACAGACTAAGCATCCTTAATCCAAAAATCCAAACTAAAACTTTTTGACAGATGAGGATACTCACCTCTGTAATAACGAGGATGCACCATCTAAAGACTTTTTGAGTGCTGACCTGACACCACAATTGGAAAATTCATCCCCTGACCTCATGTGGTGAGGTGTAGTCAAAACAGTCAAAATTTTGTTTCATACACAAAGTTATTAAAAATGTAAAAATTACCTTGAGACTATGTGTATATTTATGAAACATAAGTGAATTTCATGTTTAGACTTGGATTCCATCCCCAAGATATCTCATTATATTCCAAAATCTGAAAAAAATCAAACACTTGTAGTTCCATGCATTTTTGATAAGGTATCCTCAGCCTGTACTAGGGAAGTGGGAATAGAAAGAAAAGAATGGTGGTTTTGATAGAATTAGTGGGTAAGAAAGAAAATGGAGGTAAAGGGCCCTTTGGACTCCCCTTTTCCTGTTTCACCCAGCAACTTCATTCTTCAGGATCTAACCCATGTTTCTTTGTCCCTTTTCCAGAGTCCCTCAGTACTCTTTTACTTATTCTCATGATACTTTGTTTATAACATCTTTGAAAAATTTATTATATTGAATTATAATTTATTTATGTCTTAGTTGCCATGACCATATTGTAGTGAACTCTTTAAGAGTAATGAACAGATAGGTTTTATTCTGCTTTGCATCCTTACCCTCTGTGACTAACGCATAAATGCTCAAGAAAATGTTTCTTTCTTTCTTTCTTTCTTTATTTTTTTTGAGATGGAGTCTCGCTCTGTCACCAGGCTGGAGTACAGTGGCGCAATCTCAGCTCACTGCAACCTCCCCCTCTCAGATTCAAGTGATTCTCTTGCCTCAGCCTCCTGAGTAGCTGGGACCACAGGCATGCGCCACCACACCCAGCAAATTTTTTTGAGAGACAGGGTTTCACCATGTTTGCCAGGATGGTTTTGATCTCTTGACCTTGTGATCCACCCACGTTGGCCTTCCGAAGTGCTGGTATTATAGGTGTAAGCCACTGGCGCCTGACTGAAAAAATGTTTCTTGAATGAGAAGGTTGATAAGATTTGTAGCCAAAATAATTAGAGAAATTTGGGAAAAATAAAGAAAGGAAAAGGAGGATGTAGTTGGGAGTCATCTCAATGACTAAATCTCACAAGTACCTTATAATGCATTCATTGTTCTGTTTTGCTTAGCTCAAGTGAGAGGTAATTCAGCATTTTCAATACTAAAAGTTCTCTTTAAGGGTATTTCTGGCAGGTAAGCTGGTTTTGAATGAATCTAACATTTTTCTCAAACTTGAAAAGGCCCTCTCTGGTTATTCCAAGAAATTAATGAGCCTTTCTGCAAATAGACAGTCTTAGCAGCCTAATAAATATGTAATGCATCTTAATGCTCTTTGGAAAGTGACACTGCTGATTCTACTGTTGTACAATCCTGTCTCACTAGAATTATAACTTAAGTCTCTCATAATTTTTACATGTCTATATATAGCTCATCATCAGAATGTAACATATATTCAAATAGTGTGAAACATTTTTGAGTCAACTAGTATCTTAATATATTTTTAGAAATGTAAATATGGAATTATCTGTACTTTTTTGTAACAGAAAATGAAATAATTAAACCCATTAGAAATTTGCTTATTTTGGGTTTTTCAGAGACAGGCCTTTGAATTTTCTCTTTCTTGGGTAAGGTTTTTGTAATTATACAAAACTAAAGGCACAGACAAATTTTTAAGCAGTAATACAAATTCTGTTATTTTAAACTTGTTCAAAGTGATCAAATTGCTTTTAAAAATTGCTTCCCTGTCTGAGATAGACTTATCCAAAAGTACTTTGTAAAAATATAATGAATATTCCTGTTCAATAAATGAGTTATCTAATCTTTTAGCAGCTGTTTTCTAAAATGAAAATATCTGTGTTCTTTGCCTTGTAAGTAAAGAGGGAGAAATAAAAGCAAAAGTTTTTTCTTTTATTCCCCCAAGTATATGCTGTAATCTAATAGCAATTTCCCCTGTCTGTTTTTTACTTTCAAAAACAATCAAAAATCTCCCCAAGAGGCAAACAAAGATATACTACTTCAGAAAATCCAAGGTATAGTCATTGGAAAAGCCTAGGATAGACCCCACTAGCTTTCCATTTTTGTAGATAGCAAACTACTTGCTAGCTACAGTTACGCATCAGATTAATTTTTCTTTAGCTTCTATAGATCAAAAAATATATTGTATTTTAGAGATTATTTTAATGAAATTATTCTTTTACCAGAAACAATTCTTGCCAATAAGTGAGAGCAGAGTTTCGTATGCAACTAATTGAAATGTTACCTAAAAAGAAATTTCACTACAAAAAATTACAATGATGCAGATGTCACATTGTAGTTTTACGTTTTTGGAAAGCATTTCTTTTTCTGGCTTCATACATTGTAAACCTTCTTTCTACTTACTGTAATAACTACTTAACCTGAAATAATGTTCCACCAATAACATGGGCCATCTCTCGATGAATGGCAGTATTTCTCCAAAAGCCTCTAATTAGACTATATTTAATAAACACAGGATTTTTTAAAAAGATATATAACAAAACCACATTTTCCTTTTGACTATGAAAGCATTAAGAGATATAGTATCCAAATTCTTAATTAATCTTAAATTAGCCTAGGCTTTTAATACTTTGATACATCCTTTAATGTCCCTCTTCTGCAAACACCTAAAGCTAACTATGAAAAAAACTGCTATGAATCTGTTGTTCTAGGAATGGCCCTCTAATAATTTATCTATTTAGTTAAGCTTATTTATGAAGTTTTCTCAGCATAGTATCTCTCCTTGAGAAATTCTTGCCACCTAAGTGTAGGTAGAATTATAGTGTGATAGATGATACTTTCTCTAAAGCTGAGGCTTATAGACTTATTTTCCACTCAAACATCAAGTAAAGATATTTTACCATAAATTTAGCTTTACTTTTTCTAATAAATCAGTGTTTTATATTTCAGTTTGTTGTAGATTGTGAATTCTTTAAAAAAGAAGCAAGATCCCTACAACTTCCTGTAACTCATCTTTTTTCCTTTGGTAAGTAATTTGTTTTTAGAAAGCATAAGAATTGCTTTTATTTTTAACAGAGTTGCAGTAAAGCAGAGCTTTGTAACATAAAATATTGAATATTTCAAGTATGCCTCTTAGAATAACTATATGATGTGGTTCAGTGGTTTGATTCTCATTTAATACTGGTCTAGCAGTCATCTTCTGAGAAGTGAACTTACATAATCACATACATTTTCAGGTAATCACATGTGTGTATGTGTGTCTGTTCTTATGTGAAATTTATCCTATTGGCCCTTTTAGTACGATTTTAATACAGAATATAAATTGCTGTGTGTATAAGAAAGTTTCAAGATTTCTCCAAATACTCTTTTAAACTTTATTTTGAAATAATTTTAGATTTACAGAAAACTTACAAAAGAGTTCCTATATATCCTTCACTCACATTTCCCTAAGGTTGACCTTTTATATAAACACAGTACAGTTTTTTCAATTAAGAAAGCACTGGTGCAATACTATTAATTAAACTACAGGTTTTATTTGTTTTTCACCAGTTTTTCCACAGATGTCCTGCTTCTCCAGGTTCCCACATTGCATTTAGTTGTCATGACTCCTAAGTCTCCTATAATCTGTGGCAGTTCCTCAATCTTTCTTGTCTTTCACAACTTCGAAACCTTTGAAGAATACTGTTTAATTATTTTGTAGTTTGGAGTTGTCTGATACTTTCATTTTTGTGGAGGAAGTAGGGAACAGGGTCTCACAATGTCACTCACGCTGGAGTACAGTGGCATGATTTCAGCTCACTGCAGCCTCTGCCTCCTGCGCTCAAGTGATCCTTCCACCTCAGCCTCCTGATTAGCCAGGACTACAGGCATGTGACACCATGCTCAGCTATTTTTTTTGTATTTTTTGTAGAGACAGAGATTCACCATGTTGCCCAGGCTGGTCTCAGACTCCTGGACTCAGGAAATCTGCCTGCCTTAGCCTCCTAAAATGCTGGGATTATAAACGTGAGCCAACACACCCAGCCTAATACTTTCTTATGATTAGATTGAGGTTATGTATTTTTGCCAAAATACCACAGAAGCAATGAGATTTTCCTACTATATCATATTATGTATACATGATACTGATATTTCTAATTACTGGTTGTGTTAATTTTCCTTTCTTAGTTAAGGTGGTGCCTGCTAGGTTTCTCTGCTATAATGTTAATTGCTTTTTCCTTTTGTAGTTAATAAATAGCTGGGGTGAGATAATTTGAGAGTATGTAAATGTTCTGTTTTTCTTTAGAATAACCCACTATTTTTAGCATCCATTGGTTCATCTAGTATTTAGCAAATATCAGTCTGGTATTCTACGTTTAGTGGAATTCTTCTTGAGATAAAGGAGACCTTTCTCCTTACTATTTATTTATTCATTCATTCAATTTTTATTTATGTCACTATAGACTCAAGGTTATGTATTTTATTCATTGGGTTATAATCCAGTTCCATCATTATATATATTTTTGCTTAAGTTGTCCTAGCTTTGAATATTGGGAACTCCTTTAGGCTGGTTCCTGTGCTCTTTTGGTACGCCCATCCTTTAAATATATTTTTTTTACATTCCACTTATGAAAAGAAACTGTGTTACTTTGGAAAACTTTAAAATTTTTATTTATCCCCATACTCTTTTTTTTGGTACACAAATAGAACAGTACAGAAATGACAATTGTGAATTGCTCATATCATTTAAGATAACAAGCTTGTAAAATAAAAGATCTACCAAGAAAGTACACCTTTCTGAAATTGGAATTATATACTTGACTTTTTAAAAGCAGGTTGATGGCTGGGCGCGGTGGCTCAAGCCCGTAATCCCAGCATTTTGGGAGGCCGAGGCGGGTGGATCATGAGGTCAAGATACCGAGACCATCCTGGTCAACATGGTGAAACCCCGTCTCTACTAAAAATACAAAAAATTAGCTGGGCATGGTGGCGCGTGCCTGTAATCCCAGCTACTCAGGAGGCTGAGGCAGGAGAATTGCCTGAACCCAGGAGGCAGAGGTTGCGGTGAGCTGAGATCGCGCCATTGCACTCCAGCCTGGGTAACAAGAGCGAAAACTCCGTCTAAAAAATAAAAAAAAAAAAAAAAAAAGCAGGTTGATGTGATTGGAAGTCATAATAAAAGTCGTTTTATCTAGTTTATTGCAGGGGGATTAGATTTTTGGGAGTTCACTCCATACAGAAGTGAAAACCTGTAAACAAATTTTTAATTATTGGCATTGTTTAATGTTATCAGTACGTTTTTGAAAAATTCCTTGATATTCTAAGTAATACAGTACTTTGAATTCAACAGGATTGTCTTCAAGGAAAGTGGTGATAAATACAAGTGGCCTGTACTACAATATAGAGCTTCTGAACTTTGGACAGGTAATTAATCCTCACTACAACAAGAAGGATTTTATTTTAGTTTAATGTTTACTTTAACATACAAGTAAACTTTTATTTTTTGTTTTTGTGATCAAACTCTATTAGATATACCAAGCTTTTAAAATCAACGTGGTAAGCAAGTGCTCAGCAGTTAAAGGTAAATATATTTTCTAAAAAATACATAGAAAATTGATTGTTATTGCCCTTCTGAGTTTAGAAAAAAAAGAAAGAAAAAAAGAGGTTAAAAAATATATATAGATAGAAAGTAATATTGTCATTTGAAGACTCATTAGGTGTTAACTTGAATTTTCTGTAATACTTATTCTTCCATATGTTTTTATGTTAAGTAAAAGTAAATATATAATAGAAAAGTTGTTTATATTTCCAGAGGAATTGACATAGACCCTTTCTTAATAGTAAAGCATTTTTATCTGTTTCACTTTAAATATCCACATTTTAAAAATGCCATCCATCTTTATGTCTTATAGTAGTAATTCAGATTTAGTTATTTAATATTTTCCACTTTCTTCGTACTGCTCATCTGCCCTAATATCTATTATAAATCTAATTAAAGCATTATTATTTGGGAATTCTCCATAATTTTTTATCACATAATATAACCTGTATTGATTTTTTTAATGAAATGGACAATTGTATAATTAATTAGGTATTATAGTAGCTTATGTAACATTTAGGGCAACATATTGTTAATGATACAGTTTTTTTTAATGTTTTAACAGAAGAAATAACCAGTATCTATAAACTTCATATTCCTTGGTCTTATGAAGATTCACTAACCATTGCACAGTAAGTATTTGAAAGAATTTACTTTAAACTTTGGTATTTTGAATAATAGATCTTCTGGTTAGCTTAGTTCTTTAAATCATGAATTATTAAAATGCCTCAGTAAAATGTGTTTATATGTAGCATTGTTCCTATAATTTCATATATAATATTCTTATTAAATGATAGAGAATTTAAACTTTACCTACTTGTCAGCTGAACCCCCTTCCACCTTCTCCCAACTCCTGTGTCCTAGAGGGAGCATTCAAAGAATTGTGATGGGAAAAAGTGCCCATCCACAATTATGGGTCTGGTACCTAGCTTCTTCTACATTATTTGATTGTATTGTGCTGAGGATTAACTTAGCCATGGCTCTTTACCAGCATTTTGCCTTAGAGAATTGATATTTAAGTTATCTCTTCAGGGTTCCATCTTCCACAGAAATTTCTGTGAAACTCCATATTGCTCAACCAGAAAATGACAGCCATGTGGCATTATTAAAAATGTATACATCATCAGACTGCAAGTATGAGGTAAGTTGTATGTTTGCTTAATTTTTAAGATTTAGTTATAGAATAAGCTAGAAACATTCTTTTTATATTAGCTTCAGCTATATGGTGGTATGGAAGCTAATAAATATAAAAAATAGGCATTTAAATATTTTAAATATTCTTCCTTTTTCCTGTTAACACCACCTTAGCATTCCATAGCTGGACCATTTGAAAATGTATACATCTTAATAAGTAATATAAGATAAAGCCAAAAAATAAGACTGTAGATTAACCTTCTAAATTTGGAAGCCCAAGTTCAGAATCTTTATAAGATTCTGAACATCATGAAGTCAGCTGACATGGGCTTACTGCAGTAATTGATGTAATACTTATTGGTGTACAGCTCTACTGGTTGTTAACTTAAGGATCTTCTTTCCTTTTCACTAATTATTTTAAGCTCTTCTAGTCATTACCATATGTGATTTCATACCTATTGTGTTTATTTTATAATTAAAGTACATCTCTTTGTGTTAAGGGAAATAGAATTGAGAGTAACATTTTATTTACTTACGGATTCATGAATGAAGAGCCCCTAGATTCCCAATTTAAGTGGTTAAAGTACTTATTTCAGTGGTTATGACATCATAGGCTTCTGTGAAATATAAAACCAGCTGAAAGCTCAGCTCTTAAAACCAAGCTTAAATGTTTGTATTCTTTGTTAGAGCTAACTTTTCAAGGGTAAACTAGGATTGTTTCTGTCAAATTAATAGAATCTGTTCCTCCAGCCAAGTTTCAGTTGAACTTATATTATGAATTAATTTAGATTTCATGGAATTTATTAATGCTTTGATATCTTGCATTCTGTTTCTAACAGTTAAGGGTTTTTCAGGGCCATAGTAGTTTTTAACTTGCATGTTCATATTTATAATATTAAAGGAATATAAAAAATTGTGATAAAAATGTGGTTCCAACTAATGCATGCTCTCAAAATGTCCATGTTTTCCCAAATACTGCATATTTTCAAGAAGTCCATATATTGACAAAATTTAATCATTTTAAGTTTCCCTGAGAAATATTTATCTCCTTTCTATTATCAAATAGACTTCCTAATTGTTAAAAAAAAAAAAGTATATTTATGGTAGAGATAATTAAGGGTGAATTTCTTTTTAAAATATTACTTTGGCTTAAATTCCTTTAGCTGGCATGATCTGGTAATAAGATAATCTACTTAATTAAATATTTTAGGTAGTAAAGGGGCATAATAGCATTCACTCAACTGTCAAATAATTAGATATGTGGGAACATATATTAAACAGTAAAACTACACTTAATACAATTTACATGGTAGCTCAGAAGATTCCTTAAGATCTTGAATGCCTTTAAGTTTACCACTATGGAAAATTAGTTATTATGCTTAGAGATGTGCAGAAGTGCCCAATTTAATAAAATGTAAACTAAAGGAGTTTAAGTGAAACTAACCTTTTTTTCAATAATTGTTTTAAACTAGGTGACAGTTAAGACTTCCTTTTCACAAATACTTGGACAGGTAAGAGAGATTCCTGGCTGGTTGATTGTTTACTCTTTTATGAATAAATAACTGTAAGGAAGGGGTTGTAGACTTTTTCCATAAGGGGCTGGATAATCAATAATTTTTTTGCAGACCACATACAGTGTCTTTTGCTACTGCAACTGCTGTAGCTGCTTCTGTATTCTTCCTTTTTTCTTTTTCACTTTTCTTCCACTTTAATAAATCCAAAAATTTTTCTTGGCCTACAGGCCATAGTTGTCCATCCCTGCTTTAAGGTGATGCTTTCATGTTGGATACATCCAAAAAATGAGAGCTGATACTTGATTCTCAAACAAATTAATATTTTTGCCTAAATGAATTCTATATTAAGCCTTTATGGCAGGGCATGGTGACTCATGTCTGTATTCCCAGAACTTTGGGAGGCCAAGGCAGGAGGATCACTTAAGGTCAGCAGTTCGAGACAAGCCTGGCCAACATGGTGAAACCCTGTCTCTACTAAAAATGCAAAAATTAGCCACAAATGGTGGTGCATGCCTGTAGTCCCAGCTCCTCAAGAGGCTGAGGCACGAGAGTTGCTTGAACCTGGAAGGTGGAGGTTACAGTGAGCTGAAATTGCACCACTGCACTCTAGCCTGGGCAACAGAGGGAGACTCCATCTCAAAAAAAAAAAAAAGAAGAAAGAAAAGAAAAAAGATTTCATGTTGCTCATACCACACTATAAATTCATAGTACAATAAAATCCATAGGCTCTGTCATATAAATGAATGTTTTCAAATAACTTTTTATATTGTGCATCCTCAGTTTGTAAAACGAAAAAAAAATTCTATTAAAGATAAATGTGTTGAATTCATTAATGTTAAAAAATAGTGCATAAAGCAATAGAACTATAGATATTACTTAGCATCGCTGTAATTTGCAGAATTGTGCAACCTGGACATAGATAAGTGACAGTTGATTAATTAGGAAAATTATATAGTTTTAAAATTCAGTCAAATTTGTATTACAGCTTTTATTACTTTTACTTTATTTTTTGGTCTTTTGTATTTTGCAATCCAGTCATAGTAGAATTTTGTTTTAACTCTAAGTCATTTAATACTGTAATAATAAAACTCCCAAGGCAAAATTAAATTAGAAACATTTGTTATATGCATTATCTCATGCAATCTCTGAACAATTTGGTGAGAACTAGATTACAATCATTATTACATTATAAGGATGTATATTATAACATTCTAAGTTAATATATAAAAAATCTGTGCTAAATTAGGAAGGGAAGGTTAAAGTCTAAGTTGGAAAATAGCATCATGGATAATTACAATAAATATTCTAAAATGTTAAGTGACCAATTATTAAATCTCTGTAATTTAGACCTTTGTATATTTAGTATGGCCAAAGGGCATGTTACTGTACACAGTGGTTTGGGATAGGAATATAACATACTCTTTTATCCATATAATTCCCATGTTTCATAATTAAGTTTAGTAACAAGAGAAGTCAAGTTAGCTTGATACGCTAGAGTCAAGCATAAGTGTCCACCAAAAGAGAACAGACCTCATATTCTTGTTTTGATGTGGAAATCCTTCTAAAGACTGAGGATGTACAGGTGTTACAGTATCAGAGGTGAATTCTTTCTAAAATGTCAATTAAAAATTTGTGTTATTGAAGCTTAAGCTTAGTTTTGTAATAATAAAAAAATTTAAAGAAAAAAAGAATTTGTATTAATTGAATTAAATTCTCAAATTATTGAAAAGACATAAGATGTTCTTCCTTCATGCTGGTTTAAAAATGTAGCTTGTAAGGAGTTGGAGAGTGAATGAAAGTTGTATATCCTACTTGTTTTTAAAAATAGTACTTTTTTTTTTTTTTGAGACAGAGTCTCACTCTGTTGCCAAGCACCAGGCTGGAGTACAGTAGCACAATCTTGGCTCACTGCAACCTCTGCCTCCTGGGTTCAAGCAATTCTCCTGCCTCAGCCTCCCAAGTAGCTGGGACTACAGGCACGTGCCACCATGCCCAGCTAATTTTTGTATTTTTTAGTAGAGACGGGGTTTCACCATGTTGGCCAGGATGGTCTCGATCTCTTGACCTCATGATCTACCTGCCTTGGCCTCCCAAAGTGCTGGGATTACAGCTGTGAGCCAGCACGCCCGGCCAAAATAGTACATATTTTAAATGTTGCTCACTCAGTTACAGAAGATTGAAGAAGAGGAATAAAGAGAAACTACTTGGGAGAACCTTCAGCCTTCAATAGATAACTTTTCATAAAGTTAATTTTTTTCTGAAAGACGAAAATATATTCACATATCTTATAGTCTGCTCTTACGAAAAAGAGGGCAAAGCATAAACTGAAAGTTACTTTCGCAGGAGAATTCCATAAACTCAGGTAAATAATTTCTGTGCAGGAATGAAGTCCAGTGTTGCCAGATCTTCAGCTTTTAAAAGAAACTAGAAATCTGAATTTTTAGATGAAATCTTTTAATTTTTCAATGTCGGTATGTAATTTGAAATTTAAAGAAATACTGTACCAAATACTAAGTATGGCTACAGTTTGACTATGAAACAGGGAGGCCAGTTTATGATTGTAGGTTTAGTAGTATCTTATATATCCAGCTGTATCTTGATACTCATAACAATGATGCTCTATCATTAAAAGAAATTTTATATTCACAGTACTCTGTGTAGGACCTCTTACAAGATTCTAAATGCAGTGAAGGGCATTGAAGGTAACAACAGCTAAAGTTTTCCAGTCAGTTACCAGGTACCAGTTACTATTCCAAATGCTTTATCCAAGTGTGAATATATTTAAGCCTTACATCCCTGTGAGATAGGTGCTGTTTGTCTCATTATACAGATGAGGGTATAGAGAGAGGGAAGGGAAAGTAATGGAGGGGGAACATAACTTGCCTAAGGATACAGAGCTAGTGAGAGGCAAACTAGCTAACTCCAGGAGTCTGACTCCTGAGCCTGCTATGATGGTTAACTTTCTTTTTATACTCTCAAAAGTGCATGTTTTTACTAGCATGTATATTTACAGTATATTATAGTATATTTACTAGCATGTCATGTATGATTTGCTATTAGGTAACAGAATGGCCTTTTTCCCTTTTACTCAGCTTTCCCAAATTTCCATGCAAAGCTGTAAACTATACTTCACAAGTATGGGCTGTACATTATCTGATTTTTTTCTCTTCTCTTTTTACCTGGAAATCCATGGAGGAACTTTAGGGAGACCCTGAACTTTCTGAAATTTTCTGCAACTTTTATGTAAGCTTGTACTTCCAGAGCTTTCCTCAGGTTGCCAGAGAAGTTTATACATGTTCTAAAAAAATTCTGTGGAATGGAGAACATGCTTTAAAGTAAATTTCCTTTTAATAATGTAACATTAAAAGAACTTAAGGCTTTGTTTTTGTTGCATGTATTTTATAGAGAGCTGATACAATGACTTGAGGCACCATAACATAATGATTATGAACTTAGGCACTAATTTTAAAACCTAGTTCCGTAAAATTTTCAAACACGATGAAGGACATAAAAAGTTAATAAAGCAGTTAACATTATCTGATAACTTGTCATATATGAATTAATATTCTGAATGCCTTACACAAATAAACATGTCTACTCCTCATAACTATCTATAAAGTACATACTATCATTGTTACTATTTACTGATAAAGACATAGGGAGAGCTAAGTAACTTGCCTACTATATTTTTAATTGTACAAGTTAGTTGGGCTCTCATGCCTGAATTTCTTTGTCTATAAAATAGGGATAAGAGCTACCTCAAAAGATATTGGGAGAAGGACATGGGATAATGCATATAAGGTATATACTGTCATGCCTGCCACGTAGTAAATAATCAGTGTGTCCTGAAAAGCAGTTTTGTAGCATGTGCTACTCAATGATATGTTCTGTTATGCCTTTGATGAAAAATTCAGTTACATTTTTAGTTTGCTATATATTTTCAACATTTATTTTACTAGAGTTTTTGATACTTTTACTGGAAATATCTTTGTGGCCAGGTCAGGAAAGGCATAAAAACAACTTTTAAATTTTATGCGAAAGTACATTTATTTCATTAACATGAATATTCAGGAGTTGCCCATTGACTTGTTTTTTAGGTAGTTAGATTTCATGGTGGAGCTCTTCCTGCTTATGTCGTATCTAGTATCCTTCTTGCTTATGGAGGACAATTATATTCTCTTTTCTCAACAGGTAAGAATGCTTCTAATTTTTAAATTACTTTTGTTTTGAATATTAAAGTAGCACAACTATTAGTTCTACATGTATGTTTTTATATATAATTCCATTGTATTGTATGAGGAGACATATTTAAGAGAGTTCTTTGAACTCCCTTTTTATTATTTTATGATTATGCCACATAATAGTAGTTGCTATTCTGTTCTTGAAAGCTCTTGAAAATATCATGTAATTTTATGATGAGTCTTCTCTGCATCTTTATTACTTTTCTGCTGTCAACGGCTAATCCCAAAATAGTTTGAGGAAGCTAGTCCAGAGACCTTCAATTTGTGGTTCCAAGACACCTGCAAATTATTAACATTCTCTTAGCTTGTCAGTTTTGTATCAGTGTCATTTTTTAATGGAAAAAATAACTTTGAATTTAACCAGATTAAGTAATTTTTTAAAATTTACATAGGAATCAAGAAGTATAATTATCTTCATATAATAATTTTGTTAGTATTTATGACTTAAAAAGGGGTAAAACATTTAACCATAATACACACCAAAAAATTAACAGTAATACCCTAATATTATCAAATGCATTTTTTTTTTTTAAGGCAGAGTTTTGCTCTTGTCGTCCAGGCTGAAGTGCAGTGGTGCGATCTTGGCTCACTGCAACCTCCGCCTCCTAGGTTCAAGCAATTCTCCTGCCTCAGCCTTCCAAGTAGCTGGGATTACAGGTGCCTACCACCATGCCCAGCTAATTTTTGTATTTTTAGTAGTGACAGGATTTCATGATGTTGGCTAGGCTGGTCTCAAACTCCTGACCTCACGGTCTGACTACTTCAGCTTCCCAAGTGCTGGGATTATAGGTGTGAGCCACCATGCTTGGCTTCAAATGACTTTTTAAAAAGGATTTTATTTTTAATTTATTTGGTTAAATTAAATATCACACGTACCCCATAAATAGGTACAATTTATATACTTGTACATATATATATATATGTACATATATATAAGTACCTATTATATAAATAGGTACAATTTATATAATTGTACTTATTTATGGGGGTACGTGTGATATTTTGATACATTTATATAAATGTATAAAGGTCAAATCAGGGTAATTAGGCATCAACTCAAACGCTTATCATTTCTTTGTGTTGGGAACATTCCAAATCTAGCTATTTTAAAATACACAATAAATTATTAACGATAGTCATCCTGGCTGAGTGCAATGGCTCGTTCCTGTAATCCCAGCACTTTGGGAGGCTGAGGCAGGTGGATCACCTGAGGTCAGAAGTTTCAGACCACCCTGGCCAATATGGTGAAACCCTGTCCCTACTATAAATACAAAAAAATTAGGCAGGTGTGGTGGCGGGTACCTGTAATCCCAGCTACTTGGAAGGCTGAGGCAGGAGAATTGCTTGAACCTGGGAGGTGGAGGTTGCAGTGAGCCGAGATTGAACCACTGGGGCAACAAGAGTGAAACTCTGTCTCAAAAAAAAAAAAACGTTAACTATAGTCATCCTACTGTGCTATCAAACTCTAGACTTTATTTCTTCTAACTGTACTTTTATACCTATTAACCATTCTTTCTTCATCCCTCCATCCCTCTTTTCCTTTTCCATCCTCTGGTAACCATCTATTCTCTAGCTTCATGAGATCAACTTTTTAAATTCCCACATGTAATGAGAGCAAATAATATTTGTCTTTCTATGCCTGGCTTATCACTTAACATAATGTCTTGTCAGTTACATCCTTGTTGCTGCAGATGACAGAATTTCATTCTTTTTATGTCTAAATAATATTCCATAGTGTATAATATATTACCACTTTCTCTATCCATTCATTTGTTGATAGACTTTAGGTTGATTCTATATTTTGGTCATTGTGACTAGTGCTACAGTAAACATGGGAATGCAAATATCTCTTCAATATACTGATTTCCTTTCTTTTTGGATAATATATACAGCAGTAAGATTGCTGGGTCATATGGCAGATTTATTTGTAGTTTTTTGAAGGGCCTCCAGACTGTTTTTTTTTTCGAGACAGAGTCTCACTCCGTCACCAGGCACCAGGCCGGAGTGCAGTGGTGCGACGTTGGCTCAGTGCAACCTCCGCCTCCCGGGTTCAAACAATTCTTCTGCCTCAGCCTTTCCAGTAGCTGGGACTACGGGTGCACGCCACCACACCCAGCTAATTTTTTTTTTTTATTTTTAGTAGAGACGGGGTTTTACTATGCTGGCCAGGATGATCTCGACCTCTTGACCTTGTGATCCTCCGGCCTCGGCCTCCCAAAGTGCTGGGATTACAGGCATGAGCCACCACGCCCGTCCCAGACTGTTTTTCATAGTGGCTGTACTAGTTGGCATTTGTAGCAGTAGTGTACTATTGTTCCCCTTTTTCTGTATCCTCAGCAGCACTTGTTATTTTTTGTCTTTTTTTTTATAGCAAGCCATTTTAACTAGGGTGAGATAATATCTCATTGTGGTTTTGATGTACATTTTTCTGGTGATTAGTGATATTGAACATTTTAAAAAATTTATCTATTGGTCATTGGCATATCTTCTTTAGAGAAATGTCTGTTCTGATCTTTTGGCCACTTTTAAAATTAGGGTATTTCCTTGTTTTGTTGTTGAGTTGAGTTCCTTATATATTCTGTTTATTAATCCCTTAACAGATGGATAGTTTGCAATTTTTTTCCTAGTCTTCGGTTTATCTCTTCACTTTGTTGATTGTTGCCTTTGCTGTGCAGTAGCTTTTTACCTTGATATAATCCCATTTTGCTTATATTGCATGTACTTTTGATGTCTTACCCAAGGAATATTTGCCAGACCAATGTCCTAAAGCATTTCTCCATTATCTTCTTCTTGTAGTTTCATTTCAGGTTTTAAATTGTCTTTATTTTGATTTAATTTTTGCATATGGTAAAACATAGGGATCTAGTTTCTTACTTCTGCCTATAAATTTCCAGTTTTCCCAGCACCATTTATTGAAAAGACTGTCCTTTACCCAATGTGTGTTTTGGTGTCTTTATTGAAAATTAGTTGGCTGTAAATGAGTGGATTAATTTCGGGGTTCTCTATTCTGTTCCATTGGTTCATGTATCTGTTTTATGCCAGTACTTAACTGTTTTGGTTGCTATAGCTTTGTAGTGTATTTTGAAGTCAGGTAATGTGATCCCTCCAGCTTCTTTCTTTTTGCTCGGGATTACTTTGGCTATTGGGGTCTTTGTGGTACCATATGATTTTAGGATTGTTTTTTTCTATATCAGTGAAGACTGTCATTAGTATTTTGATAGGGATTTCATTGAAGCTATACATTGTTTGAGGTAGTGTAGACAGTTTAACGATGCTAAATCTTTCAATCCATGAACATAGATGGAATTCCTATTTTTTTGTGTGTCTTCTTCAGTTTCTTTCATTGATGTTTTATAGTTTTCACTGTAGAGATCTTTTACTTTGGTTAAATTTATTCATAGACATAATTTAATTGTAAATGGGATAACTTCCTTGATTTCCCTTTTTTTTTTTTTGAGACAAGTCTCGCTCTGTTGCCCAGGCTGGAGTGCAATGACACAATCTTGGCTAACTGTGAACTGTGGCTTCCAAGTTCAAGTGATTCTCCTGAGTAGCTGGGATTACAGGCATGCCCCACCACACCCAGCTAAGTTTTTTGTATTTCTAGTAGAGATGGGGTTTCACCACATTGGCCAGGCTGGTATTGAACTCCTTACCTCAAATGATCTGCCTGCCTCAGCCTCCCAAAGTGCTGGGATTACAAGCATGAACCACCATGCCTAGCCTCATTATTTGTTATTGGTCCGTTGAGGTTTTCAGTTTTTTTCTTGATTCAACCTTGGTAGGCTGGATGTGTCCAATAATTTAAATTCTCTAATGATCATTTGTATTTCTTTGATATCAATTGTAATATCTCCTTCTTTGTCTCTGATTTTATTTATTTGGGTATTCTCTCTTTTTTTCTTAGTCTAGCTAAAAGTTTGTAGATTTTGGTTAACTTTTCAAAAAAGCAACTTTTCATTTTGTTGATCATTTTTTTTTTAAGCTTGTTCATAGCTGACATATTTTTTCAGTCTTAATTTCATTTATTTCTGCTCTGATCTTTATTTTATTCCTTCTACTAATTTTGGTTTTCATTTGTTCTCGCTTTTCTAGGTCCTTCAGATGCATCATTAGGTTTTTATTTAAAGTCTTTTTACTTTTTTGATTTAGGCATGTATTGCTATGAACTCTCCTCTTAGAACATTCTTTGCTATATTCCATAGATTTTGGTATATTATGTTTTCATTTTTATTTGTCTCAGGGAATATTTTAATTTTTAATAAATTTCTTCATTAGCCCATTTATTGTTTAGGAGTCAATATTTTTAAAAAATGTTTAAAGAATTTTCAAAGAAGATCCACACAGTGCAGTTAGGTTTTTGTCAACTTAGATAACAGAGAGAGGCTCTCTAAAGGAAAATGATGTTTATTTGGAATAGGGCATTGCAATGGGAATACGTGTGCTACAGTAAACTTGTGCATATTCAGGGAGGTAAAGGAAGACAAAGGATGTTAAAGGAAAAATAAAAAATTCCAATTGTTTTGAAATGCTTATTCTTGGCTACCAGGATCAATAACAAGGGCGGTGAGAGTCTGAGGTTGAGCAGGCAGTTGCTGGGCAGATGTCCTCAGAGAAAAGTTTTTTGTATGTGTAAGGTTGAGAAGGCGTTTGTTCAAGGTTGCAGTTTTTGCAGTCTTTTGTGTTAGTTTTATTATCAAGACTACAAGTGTGAGAACTCTCTCTTCATAGCTTTCCACAGCTCTGTTTGTCAGGGTTTGTTTTTGTTTTTGTTTTTAACACAAATGACTCCATGTTGATTCTGGCCAGTTTCACATTTCCCTCTTTTGATTAAGATCCTCCTCTGAAAGCATCACTGATCAATCACCCCACTGTTAGATTTTGATATCCCTTGGTGCTGGAATAGACCTGTCCCAGGCTGCTGGTCTAATCCCACATTGTAATGATTGG